AATACGAAAATCGATGTTTGATAATAAAATCGCGATTTTAAAAATGCATAAATACAAAACACGATATTGGATTTTTAAATCTCGTAAATAAGAATCATAATGTACGGTATTTAAATAGCGTAAATGAGAATCGCAATGCGCAACTTTTAAATCAGGTAAATGCGAAAATCGATGATTGATATTAAAATTGTGTGAATAAAAATCGAGATATTTGGGATTTCTAAAAGGCTTGTTTGTATTGTTTTTGTTTATACATAATAAATAAAAATTTACAAGATTAACTGAATGAGCAAATAAATATTTTCACCGCAAATCCACCTATATTTTTTTTTCTCTTTTTTTGTTCGTTTTCACGCCAGAATACAAGAAGCAGCGACGTCTGAATTACGAAAATACGAGCTATCCCGCCGACGGATAAAAAATACGGAAAATCTTATTTTCTGTGCTTGAAATCGGAGAAAATAGCTAATATAAGTAAAAATGCGGAAGGGTCAGCAGCTAGGACGTACTTTGAATTTTCTGTTTATCTTTGAAAATCGTAAATAAATATAACTATTTTACTTCAACGAATAAATTTTTTTAAAAAAGCGGGATATTTATAAAAAAAAAAAAGAAAAAAAATGAAACTTTTAGAGAATCAGAGTTTTTGATAAAAAGGCTGAAATTCGAGAGACAAAAAAAATCTCATCCCTGTATAAAGGTGAACCAGTTTTATCCCAAGGAAATGATTTTTAGAGAAACTTCAGACGGAGGAAAAGGGACTTCAACAATTTCCCTCCGCGGAAAATTAAATTCTTCATAAAACATTTTAACTTGGGCAAAAAAAATTTCAGCGGAAATTAGCGGGAAAAATGGAAAAATCTGAAAAAAAGCGGAAATCCGCGGAAGAATCTCATCCCTGTATTAATAACCTGGTATTTCTTTTATTACCCTGTAATGTAATCCTAGTAACAACGAATTCATTGTGCAATTTATATGAATGTTTGTAATAAATAAGAGAAAATTATATTTTTATTCATTTCGAAGCTACGGGTTAGTTTCAAAGGAGGACGGATACAATGTTGGACAAGCCGTCCTCGGGGACGGGTTAAATTTCTGAGTTTTTTCGAGCCCTGATTATTGGCCACTATAACAACCTTTACTATAGAGAATTCTTGATATAAGGAGCGAATAAAGTGTGGAAACAACGAGAGGAAAAATGAAGAGAATCAAAGAATATCTGTATTTGTGTATAAGTGAATCAACGAGTCTGCGTGTTCGTAAATATCAATAATTTGGGGACTAAAGCCCCAAATTAGTCGGCAACTACAACCTGCTTTTCCTTTGTATCTCCTTATTCAATATCTTTTTTCACGTGGCTTATTTGATAATTATAAAATTTAAAAGGTTACTTCGTAATGATTTACATTTCACGGAGAGATGATGAGAGATTTCACTCAAAATGATATTATGCTTAACTCCAAAAGAAATTATATGCCCTTTATAAATAAAAATGTTTCAGCGAATGTTATCTTTTTCTTTGTAAAATATGCCTTCAATTTTGTGAATTGCTATTATTAAGAAGTACATTTTAACAACTGCTTTCAAATTTGACATAATCTTTCAGAATTCCACAATCGCAGAAGAAGTTCTATTTCCATAACGTAAAGAATGTCAAAAAATAAATAACACTCGAAGATTTTTTTTTTTTGATGGAAGGATAATTTCAAATTTCTAAGAATTTAATAATTTGTTAATATTTCTTGATCTGCTGAAAATATTTTCTTGTTACGTTTTGATATACGCCAAATATATGTAATCTGTATAACGCATAAAGGCTAAGATTTAACAATTCTGGGTCTTTTTATGTGCACAAATTTCGGTTAAAAATAACAGTAGGAATTTTGTCAGAATAAATTTTAATAGCAATCATTAACTCTTATATTAAAAATCATTATCCATTTTGATTGACCACATTAAAACTTGCAAGGCTAATTGCTCAGCGCATTGGTTTTGGGTTGATGCCCTTTCAAATATGGAAAGGAAAAGCAGCATTTTAGGCATATTTCACTTTTTTACTATCGAAAAGGTAAAAATGCTGTTCAAGCAAGAAAAAAAAATTATCTGATATATAGAGAAGATGTATTGGCATTACACCAGTGGCAAAACTGGTTCGCAGAATCTCGTACTGGCACTTTTGATGTTGATTCAAAGATGCATCTGGTTTTGAAATGCCAGTTGAAGCTGGTAACAAGACAATAAAGACATTTGTTGATGCAAACCGACGAATAGCATCGGTAAGCAGCATAAGAAGCTAGTAGGATCGCTGAGAGATAAAATTTAACAATTCATGGTCGTTTGAAACGCCGAGGTTTTATTCCGAAGCTCGACATAGGGGTTCCTCATGTTCTTACGGAAAGAAATTCGTCCCATCGCAGTGACTTTTGTGATTTGCTTCGCAAATGTCAAGAAAATAATTCATTTGTGAAGCGTTTCATCACTGGAGACAAGAAATGAGTTGTCTACGATAATTGTTCCTGTTTCCATTGAACGCTTTAGATGGTATAATATTTAATTCAAATGAGATCAAAACTCACCTGGATCAGTTTTTTACAAGCAATGAACAAAAATTTTATGAGCATAAAATCTTGCTACTGCCAAAGGGGAAAAAAATTGCAAAAGGTATTGAACCAAAAGTGACAATATATATAATTCGATAAAACATTTATTCAGATTAAGAAAATCATCTTTCATTCTCACAAAAAAATGAAATTACTTTCCAAACAACTCATTACAACAAAACTTTATGAACAACTGGAAAAATATACAAGGTGACTACAAAACACTGTAACAAATATCGAATTATTTCATTGTACAGATATTAAATAGAAAACGATAAGATAATCTCTTACACAATTGTCCGGTGGTGACAGGAATAATTTTAAGAGTTAATTTATGCCATTTTCGCACTAAAGTCGCAATGAGAGAGTTCGAAATTATGTTGCTTAGCATTGACTTTAATATTCAGCATTGATTTTTATTCCTTTAGCGATGAATTTCAGAAAAAAATTGCAATTATTTGACATTATATTATCATAACGTTGTGGATTGCATCTTTTCACGAATTCTTTTAATACGCTCTTTTGTACGATTGATGCGTGAACGATTAAATCTGGGTCGATCTTTTGAGATATCGGGTATTCAATAATCGATTTATAGCTTTATATATAAATGTTCCATTAAACCATAAATATTTTAATTGCGTAACTAACAGAAAATCAGCGATTGAAAATCTGTTTAATTATGATGGAACCTTTTCGATTCCATCATAAAACTAATTCTAAATATCTTGTTTTAAAGAAATTTCTTTTGCACTTATAGAAAGTGCCACTCACAGGGATAGAGAGAAAGATTTACCAAACGATTAAAATTGACTCCTATTTTTCCGAATATTTAGTTGAGTCACTCTGTAATCTTTATCCAGGGTTATGAAGTCATTTGTTATTGAAATCAAATTTGTCAGAAATTTTATTACATACAGGTTAGAAAATGTCTCACTGAAAAATCAATCACTATTGGATCGCTGTGGCAGCTATGTATGCTTTTAGAGATCACGATCTATGCTTAATACATAGCACATGTTTATTATAGGGTAAAATTAATGGTCGCCACTGGCCGACAAAATATAACAAGAGGTGATTACAGATAGTCTGCTAATCAGCCCTTTTTTCCGTTTCATGCCCATTTTATCATTACATATTTCCCCCCCTCATAAATATGGAAGTATAAAATCTTTGATATTAGTTTGAATATTACTTTATTTCACGATTTTTTCTTAAAGGTTTTTTTCATCTTAGAAATAAACCTCGTAATGTTTTGAAATAAACCTTGTTTTTTAATACTATAAAATTTTGCCTCTGTGAAAAATGTTACTAATGGCCACTAGCAAACTTTCTTAATTTTGCCCTATTTTGTTTAGTGATCGCATGGCAGAAAGTGCATAGTTTATAGGGTTTCATGTTGATTCCAGGACACCAAAATGTAATATCTTAATGCATAAATTTAACTTTTATTTTGCATTTTTGAACCTAAACACTAAAAAGTATTAATGAAACTTAGAGTCTATTCCTGGGGACGTAAATATTTCTCACTTCAACCAAAAATTCGTTAGGCAAATATGTGAACAGAAACCATGGAGACAATTTTTTATTGAGTTGAAATCTTAAAAATAATAACAATAATAATTTTTTTTTTTGTGATTTACCTTGTGGACTAGAGACAATTTTTGGAATGAGCAGGGCAGATTTAATATTTACCAATTAAAAACTTAATAACCTTTTTTCCTAGTAATGAAGAACAGACTTAGACATTTTTATTTAGACAGGAAAAAATATTTTTTATCTAAACTGGCTTAGACTTAAATCTCTTAAGAGACTAATGTCTCTGTAAGAGGTCCGACGTCTCTTTAAAGAGATATCAGACTAGATTAGCATCTTTGGTCGACAAGAGCTATGGGGCAGGTTAAAATGGCCCAATCCAACAAATAGTAAAAGTACAAGGATATTGCATGATAAAATTGATCTGCGAATTATTTAGAGTTATGTTTTATATAGGAACAACTTATTTGTAATACATTTTATTTTAATTAATATTTTAGTATTAAATAAAATTTTTAATGAAAAATGTTATATAATGTTTTATTGGAAAAGGAAATATTATATTATGTTTTAATACTAAGTTTAATCATATCTTAAATGCATTTAATGTGAAACTTTACTTTTTGTAAACAAATATTTGATTCTATTATTTATTTTAAAATATTTTTTTTACAAAATGTCTTGAATTACAAATTATTTATTTAATTTTGCAGATCTGATATAAAGAATTTAGTATTTTTAAAATATTTAATGGAGGATCAATTTTCTGACATTTTAAATGAAACCAAAATAAAAATAATAAAAAAACTTACATAAATGCACAGAAAAAAAATAAAAACAACGCAAAGAAGAACAAAACATAAATAAAAATAAATAATTTTATTCAATGTACACAAATGAAAATATTTGTTAGATGAAACATATCGTACAAATAAAAAAAAATTTACATTAAAAACTATTTATGTTTCTTAATAAGTGGTAATACTTGTAAGTATTTTGGCTAACTCGAATAGTAATGTAAGAGTGTTATAGAAAATGTCATGACAGAAGTATCACATCATTTCTTCGTTGTGGGATTTTCCTGACAACTTTTAAGCCAAACCATTCCCCTGGCTACTTCATAAAACACATCAGGCACAATGCAATCAGCAGAAACAGCATTAGGAACTCGAACCATTTGAACCGAAGTTTGATGGTACAGATCTCGTTCATAGTCAATGAGTTGTTGGAAAAAACCATTGTTCGGATGTACCATGGGTCTCCTAGATCGGAGAAGCCTGAATGCAGATCGTAGGTTCAAATTTTCATATTTCATCAGGTAGGCTAAAAAATTTATCTTGTATGAGTGTGGTGCTTATATAAGAGCATGTGCATGCTTTAAAACTTTAATTCACCTCAATTAAATACAAGAATAATTAGCATGAGGTTTTACGAAAATTAAGTTGCAAAAGCCCTTCTTTTCATTTAAATTATGAGTTTTGTGGTAATAAAATTTATAAAGAGAATATTTAACTTATAAAGTGACTCGACCTTCTCAAAGAAATATTGAATGTATAGAAATTTTCATATTTCATCAGGTAGGCTAAAAAATTTATCATGTATGAGCGTGGTGCTTATATAAGAGCATGTGCATGCTTTAAAACTTTAATTCACCTCAATTAAATACAAGAATTATTAGCATGAGGTTTTATGAAAATTAAGTTGCAAAAGCCCTTCTTTACATTTAAATTATAAGTTTTGTGGTAATAAAATTTATAAAGAGAATATTTAACTTATAAAGTGACTCTACCTTCTCAAAGATATATTGAATCACAAGAATCTTAGTAACAAAGCTACAGATCAGTTGTGCACAAAGAATCACTATAACATGCATAGGTGGCAATATTTTTCAAACTGCATGCATTAAAACTGAGGAGATAAAATTTAATTGCCACCAAAATTAAGTTCAGTGGATGATTTTGAGCCTAAATGTAATGAAGTTTGGGCAGTGCTTACACATTTAATAGCTTAATCATAGCCAAGCGCATAAAAAAAATCATAAGTGAGAAAATTAAAATACATTAAAAAATAACAAAAGTAAATTAAAAGAAAAATAATAAAGTTAAGAAATTAAGTAAAAGAATTGAGTATTTTTTCTTTCTTTCGTTTTTTTTTTTTAAGCCAGCAAATTTTTTAAAGTGTTATCTGATATTTTTAATGTGAATTCAAAGATATTAAAAAAGCAGTGATTATAAGATGAATTTTTTAAATTGTGCAGATTAAATAAAGTAGCAAAACACTAAAAATTATTGGAAGAAAAGAAAGTGTGATAGCAGTATAGTATGATAAAATGTCGCAGAATTTAAAAAAAAAGAGAGGAAAAAAAAAGATTACTGAGTAATTCATTCATAATTCGGTGATTTTTCTGATAGGTATTGTTTAATATGTCTCTTTCTACTACCATAATAAAACTGTAATAAGCAAAGTGTGAAGGAAACTTACATATATAAAACAGACTTAGAGGCATGTTTTATATTGTTTCATTTTATATTTTTAGAAATAAAGAATATAAATTTTTTAAATACAAAAAATTTATTTTACTATTTTGCAAATTCACAGGCCTGCAATCTAGTTTTTACTCTGAACATGTAAATGAAACAGCAGTCTTTTGATATTTTTCATGCTGAAAAGCTAATTCAGACGATTAGTGTAAGAACAAGATAAGTCAACATTTTTCAATTGTTGGTGATAAACAAATCAAATTTAAAAACTGCAATAGAATTAAGTAGTTTCTCTACACACTATTTAGCACACAGAAGAGGACAGACAGTTCTTGCACTAACCAAAATCACTATATTGTCCACCACAGTCGAGTATGCATTAACCAACACAGCAATACAAACAGCGTATGTCCGCTAACATAATTTAGTGCAAAAGCACCAAGATTGGAATTTTTCACTTCCCATAAACTTGACCAGAGGTGCTTCTTTTGAAGATGGAACACTTTCAGTTCATTTTCTAAGATGCTGAATCAGTTAAAAAATATTTTGAAGAATTTGGATTCACCACCTAGTCTTTGCACTGGGCCTTTAAATTTCTGCTTTTATTTTTTTTTTATAATAATAAAAAATAGATTAGTGCTGTTTTTTTCCTTTCAAATAGTTACAATATTATTAATTTTTAGTATTTATCTAAAAATTGTTTTCCTATTTTGTACAGAATTTTAATAATAATGTAAAAAGAGGCAAGATTTTTTCTTGTTCACCTTTTAAACAGTATGAATAAAAACACCAAAATAATTAGAAGTTTATTTTGTCAGCCAAATCCTAGGTTAAATAATGAAAATCAAAAGATAAAATGAAGTTCTTTAAAATAGAACATGAGTGAAGGTCTATAAAGTTTTAAGGAAGACTGATTTGAAATAGATTTTTTTTAAATTTTATTTTGGAAGAGGGAATATGAATGTTCAGGGGTCTGTCTAGGTTTTTCTGAAAGGTACCTATTTTGCGAAAATGTAGACATAATTTGTGAAAAATTAAAAATTATATTACAAAATCAATCCAAAAACATGGTAAAAATATAGATTTATCGTTTCTAAAAGGATGCAAAAATAAAATTTTAAGAAAAAGTATTTTGTGAAACTACCGTTTTTCCTAAAGTTGAATTTGTGAAACTACCGTTTCACCTAAAATTGAATTTGTGAAGGTACCGCTAAACGGTAGTAAATTCGGCCTGGACAGACCCCTGATGTTTCTTATGAAAACATATATATAAAGATACCTTTTATTATTTTGATAAAAATGTTTGAAAACAAAGGAAGACTCAAAATTCATTTAGCTTAAAACTTTTTAAATAGAGTTTAATTTGTGGTCCCTTAATTTCTCAACAATCAAAATTCTTAATTCTTTAAAGTCATTAGAGTCATCATTAATTAGCAAAAAAATAATACTTTTAAATGAAAATTTTTTTTAAAAATCACTTTCAACATTCAATAAACGGCACACAATAAAATCTTTTATTTTAAGACAAAATAAACTTTTTAGAGACAAAGAAGATTAATCTTCATAAATTGCAAACAAATGAAGATCTATTGATAAGTTTCCAACATTTACTGGATCAAAATTAAGAGAATCCTATAATAAATCATTTTCATCATATTTTTACTGTAATTATAATAGAATTTGAACAAAATATTTTCAAGTATCTATCCATTATTAATTTTCATTCACGATCCATAAGCTAAGTTATGTTTAGAATTTAACTCTATGAACATAATTCATGTAAATAAATTAGGTAGAGAGTTTCCTCTCTATGCACAAACTTCTCAGTGGGTACAGAGAAGAAATACCAGAAAGAAGAATTGCACAAGAAAACAAACAGATTGAGGTTCAGAGAATCTGCAGCTAGTGTTCAAAGAGTAGGTAAACAAATAACTATTTGTTAAATTGCTTCATTTACTCTTCTTTGGAAAACAAAATTTATTGCAAGCATTATTTTTTAAACTCATTTTGCATAAGTGATTAAAACATATAAAAAATATAATTCACAACTGGATATTTCCATACAAGCAAACAACAAGAAAAAAAAAGAAAGAACTTAATCTTACCTAAACAGAGAGATGCTGAACGGCTAATACCAGCCATGCAATATACAAGAACTTTTCCACCAATTAGCTGCTCTTGATGAATCAGATCAGCAACTTCATCAAAATAACAGCTTATGTTGGCTCGTTCATTATCTTCAACCTATAAACCAGAATAATTTTTTTTTAAACATTTAATATAATTTAGAAAACTAATACAAATTTAATAGTTATGACTACAAGTTAGTTTTAAATATTTGTTAAATCACAGAATTATTTGAAAATATTTAAATATATTTACTAATATTATAACTGATACATTAGAGTTACATTTAGCAATAGAACTAAATCAAGAAAAATATACACAATTAAGCAAAGCTTGATATTAGACATTAGAGGGGAAAAAGAAAAGTCTATTTTTGGTATTTACTCAAATAATTTTTTGAGAATTTCCCCCAACTAAGTGAAGAAATTTTTTGAGATGAGAAAACAAATGGAATCAATCTTCTGATGGGGAACAAATGGAAAATTGCAGAAGCTCATTTTTTATACTTATTGCTTGTAAATTTTTATTACATTATTATTAGAACATATTTTTTTACACAACGACCAGCATTAGCTTATAAGATTCTAACTTTCTGCTAGATTTGAAGCATTTTTTTTTATTTAAAAAAAATAAATAATAATAATTGAACAGTGAACATAAACAGTATTTGACACATTACAATAATTTAGACTTACACAGATTAAATTCTCATTTAATATCATTCAACTTAAAAAGTTTTCTGCCTTACTGATACATTGCGATGAGTTAAACAATGTTACACTGTCATTAAGTTTATATATATATATATATTATACTCCAGTAAAATACTTAATTACATAATTTTAAAAAAAAAATTACAAAGAAAGAAAAATTATAATTTTACTAACAATAAATGTAGTTATAATAAAGATGATCATAACAACCAAGTATTTTCCAATAGTCTCATTTTATACATAACAGATATGCATAAAATAATTTCATTTTGCGATAGTAACTCATAAAATCAGTGTTTCATAAATCCTTTGATAGTATTGATATCCATTTCAATATGAGAATGGATATTACTCTTGATTTATGCTTAAGCCATTCACTTACCCTATATTCCGGCGCATAATGCGCACCCGTAATTTCTAATACTTTTAAAAAATTTTAAGATATACTCTTCGTATAAAGCGGAAATTTGGATTGTACACGTGCAATATCTCGTCTTTCAAGATCGCAAATAAAAAGTTTTTTTCCCTATCTTTTGCAAAAATAATAGAACTGAATTTGACATGTATGTGAGCAGGGCTCGAAAAAACTCAGAAATTTTACCCGCCCCCTGAGGACGGCTTGTCCAACAATGTACCCGTCCTCCTTTGAAACTAACCCGTAGCTTCTAAATAAATAAAAATAGAATTTTCTCTTATTTATTACTAACATATATATAAATTGCACAATGAATTAGTAGTTACTAGGATTACAATATACAATAAAAGAAATACTAGGTTACTAATAGTAACATAATATTTCTTTTATGAAATAATTTATTTCTTTTATGAAATAATTTAAATGTCAAAGGTCAAGTTATCTGGAATGTCAATTTATCCGAGGGTACTACGTTTTTTAAATGAATCAAATATGACGTTTGCCAGTTCCACAATCAAGCCAATGATTTACAGAGGTTTCTGCACAGAAATCTGAAAGGGGTTTTCCATTTAGGTAGATGTTCATAATTGCGTTTAACGCTTCTTATTTAAGACCAGTACGTAATGTGTTTTTTTGTAAGTTCATTGCTGAAAAGCCTCTTTCGACCGCTGTAGTGCTCCCAGACAGAGAAAACATTAATTCCACTATGCACAGTCTGTTGCTGTATTTCTAGATTATAGGGTCATTTTAGAAGTGAGGCACTAGACTCTTGTAAGATAACAAAAAATTGAAAGTGCATCACAAACATTAACGGAAAAATGGCCGGCCGCGCGGACGTTGGATTCGAGAAATTTGTAGTCCGCGAGGAATTTTTGACCGCCGAGGCCGGGTGGTTTTTTGAGCCCTGTATGTGAGGGTAGAGTTGAAAGAGTAATAATGTGATTCTGATAAAAGAGATTGTTGTATTCAGCAGTGCAGGTATGTGAAAGAATGTTGTTCCCCACATTCCAGAAGTAAGGGGGGAGGGTAATCTGGAATGCTGTCTATTGTGTATGTCTCAAAAGCATACCACAGATCAGGAGACAAAACGTAATTCCTCTTCTGCCAATCGCACCATTTGATGCCCTGCCTTTGAAAAGTAAACATTGTAGGCTTTAAGAATTCAGTGTAGTAGACATGGCTCCTATCAAACAAAGCAAACACAGCACTGGATTTAAATGCAAAGTAATTCAATTCGTGAAAGAAAATGGGCTGCGGCGAGACATTTTGGTATTGGGGAAAGCTTGGTGCATGAATGGAAGAAAAATGAAGAGAAAATAATGGATATGCCTAAGGATAAGTGTGCATTGCGCACAGGACTAACAAAATGGCCGGTGTTAGAGGACAATGTAGAAAACTGGGTTTTGGAAAATCGGCAAAGTGGCTTGATTGTAACAAGAAACTGTGTTCGCTTGTTTGCTCTAAAATGGGCAAAGTTAATCCACACGAGAGTGAAAATTTCAAGGCTACTGTGAGTTGGTGTAGTCGATTTATGGCTCGAAAAAATTTAGTTCTACATGAAAAAACCAAAGTATCACAAAAACTACCAAAAAACTTGAATAGCAAATTGTTAAGTTTTCAAAAATATATTATAGAACTGTGAAAAAATAGGAATATTTACTTTCGCAAATAGGAAATATGGATGAGACCCCAGTCATGTTTGATATGATCGGTAATAAAACAATTGATTTAAAGGGAGTAAAATTTTAGTGTGGGACACGTTTAGGTCCCACCTTACAGATAATACAAAAAAATTGTTGAAAGAATGTAACACCGATATGGCAGTTATTCCGGGCGGATTGACACCATTACTTCAGCCATTGGACGTCTGCTTAAACAAACCATTTAAAGCCAATTAAAAAAAACAGTAGAACACTTGGATGCTGGAGGGCGAGAAAACCTTTACGAAAGGAGGACATATGCGTCATGCAAGTTTGGAAACAGTGTGCGAATGGATATTGAAAGCATGGTATGAAATTAAGCCTGAGATGGTTAGAAAATCATTCAAAAAATGCAGCATTTCAAATAATCTGGATGGATCAGAAGAATGTTATTTCTTTAAAATAAAAGTATTCTTCTATATTTAAATCTTTTTAATCTATAATTTTTAATATTCGGCGTATACAGTGGACCTGTAAATTCCAATGTTATTTTTTGTATTAAAAGTGCCCGTTATACGCCAGAATTGTTTAAGTTCACTCATGCATTCACTTATTCATTCATTTATGCATTCACTTATACTTATGCTTAAGTCATTCACATAAAGCCATTAAAAATAACAACATGTTATTCATAAATAAAAGTAATAATGCATAAATTATATGATTGAACTCTAGAAAAAAAAATTACTTAAATCTATGCTATATAAATTTGTAGCATGTACATAGATTAAATATAAAAATTACATTTACAAGATTATGTGGTTAGTTTCAATAAAAGATAAATAGTTGGAAATTAATTTTATTATTTTTTTAAAATTCAAATAATTTTATAGTTTACCGCAATGGCCCAGTAACGTAAATGGCCCGTACTATAAGATGGTGGAGTTAAACTGCAGTTTATAACGCAAGTAATTCCTGTCTGTTGAAGTGAAGAATCTGTGACTGATCTTGCACTTGAAATGAAAAGATGATCATTTACTTCATTTAAACCACATAGCATTTTTCCTAATTTAACCTAGAATATTCAAAAAGTATATTTTAATGATGACATAAATATAACTTCGAAAAGATTAAGAAGGTCTGTGATACAGAAGAGGAACATCATTCAAATAACTTAAACTTTTAACTTGCAATTTATTAAAATGTGTTTGCAAACTTTTCAAAAAAATCCACTAATTGTTTCCCCTATAACGTCACATTTTTGACAATCATACTTTTAAACACCAACAGAAATGTGATGAAATGTTTAAATCATGTAGAATTAACAATAGAATAAAACAAAATCTTAACAAATAATAATATTCAATTCATCAATTTTTACAAACTCGAGGTGCATTCTTTATTCTAATTCGACCAATCAGCCATTTCTCTAACCTCAAAACATTTTCACCTCTTTAAGTACATCAACAATATGACTAGTTCTTACTGCCTGTGTTAAAAGAAAAGTAGATCATAGTTTTATTGTGAAATATGTTGCACATAATACATGAATGCCGTAGATTATCAAAAATTGTTCAAGCATTTAAAAATCCACCATACTTTTTCATTACCCTAAACATTTATTAATAAGAATTTAAGAGAGGTAAAAAAAAAGGTATCAAAATGAGGAAAATTGGTACTGAATGGCAATTCTATGGTTTCTTTTGTTACATGCATTGTGGTGTTGCACATTGATTTGCTTTTACTTATAAACTTTTCATTTTAAATTGAAAAATTTTTCTTTTTTTGCCCAATAACAAAGAAGAATGTCTACCTTCCATATTTATACCAAGAAAACTTGATAAATTTTAATAGTTTTATAGAATGGTGAATTGAAAATTTGTTACTCTTATTACCTGAAATGCAGCGTTTATAAATTTGCATTAATGTATTTATACTATAAAATAAAATCTTCTTATTTTAAATAATTTCAGGAAAATGAAATCTATTTATTAAATAGCAAGCATAAGAAAGTTTTAAATACATTAACATTATTTATCATGAAAAAAATTCCTGGTTACTCTTGTTACAAAATTTTTTTTAAAATTTTGTTAGGTACATTTCCTTTAGAAAATTTAATAAGAAATTTACAAAGCACATTATAAGTGTAAATAAGTTTATATTGATGGATTTATTTAATTTCTTTGAAGCAAATATGATTTCTAGAATCAACAACAGATGCAAAACAAAATTTTTTTTTCTGGATTTTATTTTCATAAAATGTTTTGACTTGATTTTTAGATCATTTCTAGATTGCCTAAAGAAATCATTGTATTAATGCAGTAATCAAATTTTAAAAAAGTCATAAATTTAAAATTTGGTTTCCAGTTGCCATAGAAAATTACATTCTTTAAAATGATGTAAAAACTTGTATACCTTATGATTCAAAAATTTTCAGCTATTATTAAATAAAATAATAGAAAATAAAAATTAATTAAGAAAACTGACTTTTTGCTTTGGACAAATGAATTTAACAACCGTGAGAATTTTTTTTTTTTTGTGATTAGCTAGGAAAAAAAATCTGGAGATATAAAACAATTATGCAAAATTAAAATAAACATTAAGGGGTCCAAATTTCCACTCCCTTAAATTTTGAAGCATTATTACCCAGAGTGCATCTACCTTCCATATTTTGAGAATAAGAAATTCAAATACATCGAGAAAAAAAAAGTTTAATTCAGAGAAAGTACATTCCCCGGTCTGCTTTCATTCCCAAAATATCATCTGCATTAAGTAATTAACATATTTGGAATGACTCTTTTAAACCATTTAAAATTGAGAGTTGGAATGCATAAAGATAGGATCACTAGGGATACAAGTTCAAAGTTATTTAGGGTGCTTAATTTTATTTTTGTGCACTGTACTAACCAAATTTAAAAAATTTTCTTTTAAATTTGCTATTAGCATATTGAATCTCTATAAATTTATCATTTGCAACAAGTATGTATTATTCTGAACTATAATTTTTCTTAAGATGATGAGATGTAGATATATGCTAAATTAGAGTTTAGCTATTTTATTAAAATTTCAATCTTCTTGTACAGTAGGGAACCGATTATCCGGAACGATCGGGACCATCGCCATTCCGGATAACTGATTTTTCCGGTTTTCTGAATCGCTACAAAAAGCCGTTTTTTTATTGTTAAACCCAACTAAGAAATAAAATTTTTTGGAAATTATCTTAAAAAGAAGAAAAAACGATGAAGTAATACACTAATGATTATTTCCAAAATGATGGTAAGGTGAACATCTTTCAAAAAAGAAAGAAAAATCTTATGAGGAAAAAAAAATAATAAATTTTAAAAATGGCGGGAAAATTTATCGAATTTCGTTCCGGTTTTTTGGTTTTCCGATTTCCGGATAACAGGTTCTGTACTGTATCTACTGCAATAAGTTATGGCGATAAAACTTATTTAATAAATAAAAAAAATTGTGGCTTCTCTTGTTACAAAAATTGAAAAGTTTTTCTTGTTACAAAATTAAATTTAGAATAACTGCAGATAAATTGAATGGATCAGTTTCAAACCATTAGCCATTATATAAATAGAGGTAAACAGCAAATCCATACGCATCTTTCTGGTTTTAAAATGATATTTCTTAATCAGGATGCACTTTCATAGGTTTTTGATTTTTCTTGTTACATTTCAAAGAACAATTAAATTGATTGTTTTTGTCATACACATATTTTACTATCACTTTTTTTATATTATCAGAAAAAAGGATACTTACTAATATTATAAACAATAATATTTTAATTCAGCTTATAAAATTACTGTAAGAATTAGTATTTAAAAATTGGCATTGAAATTCATAAATTTATAGAATAGAAAAATTTTATATTTTAGACTATTTACCAAAATAATAATGATAACGAAATAGATAAATATATAAAAAATTCTTCTAGCTTAGTTTTCTTAGTACTTTTAATTAAAAAATGATGTTAAATACGTAAATTAATTTTTAAGAAAAAAAAATCATCCCCTGCTATGTCCCCTACTTTTTGTGGAATTGCCCAGAAAGTATTTATATTAATTATGTACAATTGATTCCTGAAACATACAATTCAGCTCTCACAGAAAATTTTATAATGTGCACAAAATTTCAAATGACATTTTTTAAGACATTAACCAATGGAATTGATTTTCTCTTTCGAGCAAGCATAAAAAATGTTATAAAGATCATAAACATTTTAAATATATTCTCAAAGAAATTTCTCACAACGAATGTAGTACAGATATTTCATTTAAGTTATCCTTAAGTTTTTCAGAGTGGTATCACTTCAAAAGGACAGGAGAACTATAGATTAATTCGAATAAAACACAATTGTTTTTCAGAAATCATAAATTTAAAAAAATGCTTACTAATTCAAAGTAAAATTTAGATGTTCAATTAATTGCAATAAAACTTTAAGAGTCCAGGAAACATTTTAATCATTACTCAATTCAAATTTAGAATTACAAACTTTAAATTTAAATTCACCCAATATTTATTTTCTATTGAATCCATACGCTTTTGACTACCTAGCTTTGTTATATTTAGAACAGAAATTTTTACGGTCAGAATATATAGTTATTAACTGACTTTTTAACTGCATCTATCTCTCAGCACGTGATATAAACTGACCAATTATGTTACACCATATGCTGGGGTTATTCGGTTTCAAGCGTTTAAACTTCGTTTGCGTAGATTATTCTTAAGAATTGCTTCCGTTTAGCGTTCATTTTGTATTGTTTTTATTAGCCAGTTCGTTTTTAATTGTTTAATAATACTGAAATATTTTTTTTTTAAATCAAAATTTTCACAGCTCTAAATTCTCAAAACTCTTTTAAGTAACTTTCGCTTGTAAAAATTGCAACTTTTTATTTATTTCGAACTATTTAAATCTTTCTAATACTATTAGTTATTAAATTTTTTATGATATTACTCTTTCAGAATTCTACTAGTCAAAAGTCTCTTTTAAAATACAGGAATAGTCTAGGTCTTGCCAAGGTCTAGGTTTTTCTCCTTATTTATTTTATCTCTTACTTATGTTTTTGGACAGATGTATTTATTTTATTTTGGCATGAGTGTTCCTTTGGAGAAACGTATTTTGTATGTTTTAATTTGAATTATTTGTTCATATCATCTACCCTATGAATGGTGGAAAAGTTTTCATGATTTTTACCGTTTGCACTCACTATATTTGTCGGGGTTTGAAAGGTTTTATAAACAAGCAGAAGTTTAATAAAGAAAGAAGTTGACGTTTGCAGTGGGGTGGCTTCTAGTTATACGTTTTAAGTTGGACCCCTTCTGAGATTTTTTTTTTTAGTTTTTCTCTGGCCAGCGCAGGTACCGATGTGTAAATTTTTCTTAAGTTTGTGTGATTACTTATAAATAGCATTATTTTATAAATTACCAGTTTACACAAATCTTTGTAATGTTCGTTTTAATATCTATCAATATCTAAATTCATTGAAGTTATTTATTATATAATAGGTTTCAGAATTCATTCCATATATGTATGAGCAAAAGTTAATGAAAAACTAGAATAATATTACAGAAAGGGTTAAACTCATAGCCACTTGCTGGTTAGCAATGATGTATTTATCTTAAGTTTATTCTATATGCAAGAACTATGTAATAGCACTTGGTGATTTCAGTTAGCTGAAACTGTATGGTAATTAATTTTGCTTAACTGTAACTGTAATTAATTTTGCTTTTATTGTTTTCTTGCAGCATTTTTAATTAGCTCTGGGGAAACTTCTGAAGCGGTTGGAAATGTTTTAGTGCTTGTTTCTGATCATGCACAGTTAGAGGGAGCTCCTACCTTTTCGGATCAAGATCGGCCATACAAATGTTCAATCTGTGCTAAAAGATTTCTTCAAAAGGCGCATCTTGTACAACATTTACGTATTCATACTGGCGAGAAACCTTTTAAATGCCCTGTTTGCTCTAAGTCTTTTAAAAGGAATGAATCTCTTAAATATCATATTATATCAAACCACAACATTTTACCAGCTTCACTGTAATCTTAAAACAAAGCTATAGATTTGTTATTAATGTTAACATTTCATATTTTATGAAGTAAAAATTAAAAGAATATTAGACTTTAAAGCATTGATTATATTCTTGGAGGTTCATTTTTCTAGAACAATTCACTGTCTTCATTTTGTCATTTTGTTTATTAATTCTTGTACTTTCAAACTTTAATGTGTATATAATTAAAATAAATGCAATGCAAAGTAAAAACATTTAATTTTTTTGGTCAATTCTTTAGTTTCATTTTCAAAAAGTGTGTAAGTTTTTTTACATAATACATTTACATAAATTATAATCTATTATATGTGTTTTTAATATTTGGTATTGTATTGATACAAAATACTGTACTTATGTTGGCACACCTTTCTCAGTAACAAAACACAGATGCATCAGGAAAACAGAAACAGGAGATGCACCCTTCCTGCATTACCATGTTTTTCTCTTTCATTTTGTGTTTCGTCACTGAAAAAATTTCTTTACTATGGAACTATAGCTATAACATATTTGTTTATATGTCATAATTTGTGCTCTTTCCACATTGTTTAGCTTTATTAAACATAATTTAACTTCAGATAAATATTGGTAGATTACTATTTCTTTTTGGAGGGAAGGTTAAATATGTATCAAAATCATTATAAATTGTGTTACATTTGTCTTTTCATTTTGACTAAGTTCTTTTAACTTATTTAATCTTTAAAAAAAAATTCTATTTATTCATTTATTATTATTTTGCTACTAATTCATTTACTAATGTAAATTTTTCTTTGTTTTGTTTAAAGAATCTGCCTTTGTTTCTTATGAAGCTTTCAAAGTTCAACCTAACAAATTCAACAAAAGTTCTCAAAGAAAGAGTTGTGTAAGAAATATTTCATCTCAGAGGCATATATACCAGTGCCATCACTGTTTAAAAAGCTTTTATCGAAAAGATCATCTTGTACAGCATTTACCTGTTCATACTGGAGAAAAACCTTTCAAGTGTAAATTTTGCTCAAAATCATTTGGACGAAATGCATCCTTAAAATATCACATCCTTAGTCTCCATCAAGGTTTTGGGTTTAAGCAAACTTAATACATTGTTTCTGTGTGAATTAAATTTTATAATGGAATAATTGCTTTGAAGAGTTCTTTGGACTTGGACAAAAATGTATATATATTTTTAAATTATCAAAAATTAAATGTCTTGGTTTATTGTTATTACAAGGTAATTTGTCTATTTTTACCATTGGATTTTTGACAACATTTGATGGTTAAAACATTTAACCCAATGTTTTGTTGTATTTTGTCAGTTTTATTTTTAACTGCTTAAGCGTTTAATTTTATAATTAAGAACAAATAAGTAAGAAAAGGAAATAAAATCAATGCCATTGTAGATATTCACCAATGATAATCATTTCTTCATTTTTCTTTTGCTTGTTATAGCTCTCTTGCATTACTATTTAAAGTAATTGAAGAATTGTCTCTTTTTTAATAATGATTTGTCGTTTTATTCACATAATCTGTTGGGTTATGTTACAGCTGTTAAGGAATAGTTTATAGTTATCATAAATAACAAATCTAACAACTATCTACAATTTAATATATTATGGAAAGATATTTTTAAGGTAAAAAACAAGTTGAAGCTACAGAAAATAATCATCATTGCTTAAAATTTGTATTTTAACATGATTTATTAATCAAATTTATAATTTATTTTTATTTTCATACAGCTTTTATCCTTAAAAAAAATAAATCATAAAGTGTATATGAAAGCATTAACTCTATCGTTTTTTAATTTTTTATCAGCTGAGATTACTTTGATTTATGCTCACTATTGTGTTATATAATTCATGACTATATTTCTTAATATTCATTTAATTTTATGTGTTATTGCCATGAAATATTTGGTGTCAAATGAAGATTTAAGGTTCGTAAAATAAAAATACCAGTTAAAATGTATTGTTTTATGATTTAATTCAATTATTTTAGAAAATATGTTTTCTCAAATGTTTTGATTTTTGTAAACTATTTTCTATAGATGACTCAATCCATTTTGTGAATTCTTACTTTTGTCAAACTTGCATTCTATTTTATAATTGCATTTTTAAATCCTGTTAGCAGTTTTGTATCTTAGCTTATGAAATAATTATATACATAAATCTCACAATTGCAAAAAAATTTGGCTTTTCTTTGGGGGGAGGGGGACTGATTTAAATTTTTTTAGAAATTATGTGAAGTTATCCAAGTTTCAATAATATGATCACAAATTAAATTTTTGTTTTTTCATTACTTTTGTAATTTTCTTTTACTTGTATGTTGGGATGATAGCTGTGAAAATATTTTTATAAATTAAGCTTCTGAAAGTTATGAAATAAATTTTTAATTTATCTTTCAATTGTTGTTTGAAAACTGAACATGGGTGCCATTTTTCAGTCCTTGGGATTGAATTCAGTCTGGAAAAATTCAGGGGACTGAATACTGTCTCTTAATATCTCTCTGCCTAATTTTTTTTATATTAATTTTTCAAAAAGTTAAATTTCTACGTTTTTTTTTTCTTAACAAATATTTTCTGTTAAAATTACTTTTTAATGAAAACTTTGTTATTTTTTATAAGCCTAGCAAAATCATCTAGTACTGATGTCACACTGCATTTGAAGAATAGGACTGACTGAACTACATCATATATGCTTAAGCAAACAAAATTTGCATCGCTGAATCTGCTTGAGATAGCAGTTTTTTTTCTTCTTGATATTTTGAAATGCTGGTAAAAGTTACATTAAGATAATTTATTAAAAATCAAATTTATAGAGCTAGAAGATTAAACATTATTAATGGAAGGAAAAATAGAGATTTGAATGGTACAACCAAGAAAAAGCTAGTAATGTGATTTTCTGTGATTAGTAAAAAAAAAGTATACAAAAATAGCTGTTTTGTTTGCTGTAAAAAAATAAACTAAAAAAATGTAAAGGAATAAATATTTTTTTTTATTTTTTTGGAAAAAATAATCAAGTCATTGATATTATATATAAGTTATTTTCATGGAAAAATGAGTTTTGAAATTAGAGAACTACAAGTTTCTGTAAATTCTCATAAACATCGTTATACATTAATTGGTCAAAATATAAGTTCAGTCTTGAAATTGTTTTAGAGTGGCACCCATACCTGAACCATACTTTCATAGTTTTAAAGTTTTTATTTTGTTCTTTATTGTTATTTANTTGCCAAAAGAAGGACAGCTTGGAAAAAACTACTGGAGAAGGCCAAGGCCCATCCTGGGCTGTCGAGCCAGTGAGGAAGGAAGGAAAAAAATAAACTAAAAAAATGAAAAAGAATAAATATTTTTTTTTTATTTTTTGGAAAAAATAATCAAGTCATTGATATTATATATAAGTTATTTTCATGGAAAAATGAGTTTTGAAATTAGAGAACTACAAGTTTCTATAAATTCTCATAAACATCGTTATACATTAATTGGTCAAAATATGAGTTCAGTCTTGAAATTGTTTTAGAGTGGCACCCATACCTGAACCATACTTTCATTTTGTTCTTTATTGTTATTTATTTCATTAAGGTTCAGTAAATCATATTTCTTAGCAATTAGCATTAACAAATGAATTAAATTTTTTCATACATATACTTACCTATTCATAGTGTAAATTTATAATGTGTGTGTATGTAAATGATGATGTCTTAAGTGCTTTATAAAAGAGAGTTATTGTTCCCATAAATGGAAACAAGCTGTGTTTTCTTATTCAAATGTTATTCACTAAATGTATAATTGATTATGCATTTATTTAAACCACTGGCAGTTCTGCATGTTGAAAATTGTGATATTTTTTATACTCCAAAATGGTGCACATAAAAAGTACCACTCCATTTTATACCTACAAATGGTTCCACACATAGAAGAAGTTTAAGTTTCTCCTGCTAAAACACACACAATTAAGTAAAAGAAAAATGACCTTTCATTCTACATTTTTCCTTTAGAAGCGTGAGAGGATTGGCCTGAACCCCACTTGTAGTTGAAATTGTCAAAACTGTCAGTGGGTCAATATGTGCGTACACCAGACAATAAACATTGAATATTTTGATACATTTATGTCGTTTTATTTTGTGTGAAGTTTTTTGAAACCTTAATTTTTTTTTCTTTAGTTGATGAATTGTCAAGTTTTCATGAGTCTACCGTTATTTTGACTTTTACTCCAGATGAGACAGTCTCTTTCAAGCGGCATGCTTGTGTTTATTGTGGCAGAAAGTTCCGAATGAAGAGTCACCTTACTGATCATATTAGAACCCATACAGGAGAAAAACCTTTTGTGTGTCAGCATTGTAATAAAAGATTTAAGCGCAAAGCATCCCTAAAATACCATGTTCAAAATTCTCATTCGGATACATTTAAGCTTTTGTTTGGTTGATTTCACTCTTATTTATCTGCACAGGTTTATAAAATTATATTTAAGCGACTGAGTGCTTACAATGTTTGTCTTTTGTTCTATTTTTCCTTCAAAATTAAAGAAAAATTTCCACTCATTTTTATCCAATTTGTACTACAAACCAGCCAAAGTACAAAATGCTCAGTTAATTAAAAATATTAGTTTATATTATTAAGAAAAGCTAATGAATAAGTACTATAATAATGTTATTTTGATATTGCAGTTACATTCCTTTACTTTTGCCTTTGTCTTTTTTTTATTTATTTATTTAAATTTTATATTATTTGATAATATTACAAGGCGTGAGATTCTTCTGACTTTCTAAACTTTTACTTAAAAAATGCCATTGTCATTGTTGGTCTTTAATCTTGGTGAAAAAATTTTACCTAATTAATGACCTGTGAATCGTTGATCAGAATATTTGTATACTAATGTTAAAAATTGCAATAAAATTCTCCAAAGAGTAAGTAATAAAATAAGATGCTATGTTCAATGTCTGTGTTTTCTAATATTTCCACATTATTATTTTTTTTTCATTATTATTTTACTCTCTTTAATCACAATTTATTTATATATTTAACAGTTTGTAAAATTGTAAATGTACATATATAGTAAAAAAATAGCTGAAAATAAGTAATAAAAAATTTCTTTTATTCAATTTTTAAAAAAAACAAAAACCACTTATGAACCAACGAGGGACGATTTAAACATGGTCATTTTAGTTTGATAGGTAAAAATTAAGTTGCTTGATTAAAAATAACTGAAAAAAGTTTCATTATTTGCTATTAATATTTTTGCAAATAATATATTTATTAGAAGCATTATTGTCTTATATTCTATATATTATATTGTCTTGTATAATTTCTTATATTTGATATTTTCTCAGAAACCTTTAAAGATACTATAGGCATAACTTTTCAAAATGTACCATATAAAGTTCAGCTTCTTTTAATCATTCCTGTTTTCAGTGTTGTAATTGAAATAAATTCCTTTTTATAATTTTGATATTCACTAGCTTCTATTTTATATTTCAGGACACTTTCACTGATATTTATAGTAGGTTTTGTTATTTAAAACATGTTTTAATAACAAAATGTTTTAAATATGTTTTAATATGTTGATGTTTTAAATATGTTGATGAATTTATATCAATCCATTTGAAAGTAACTTTGTTAGCCCCAAAATGCATTTTATTAATAGCAAGTAAAATCATACCTATGTTTCCATTACTTTTACATCCTTACATTGAATGATGAATAAAGCATGCTGATTGTGTAAGCAATATAAACTGTTTTTTCCCCATTGAAAATAATAAATATGTTTTTTATTTAATTGGATATTACTAACATGAAAGTCTTGCAAATATTTATAATTTTAGTTTTCTAAAATATTTCTAGCTTTCTATAGCATCATTGATAGCAATTAAAATTAATTTCGCTTTCACCTTGATCTGTGTGTTCATTCTGAATATTGAATTCAGAGTGTCAATTTTATGCCAAAATATTTTACCAGTTTTATGATATGTTGAAGTGTAACTTTATGAATGTTTTATTTGTAAATTGTTTGAGAGCATCTATCTAGTATGTTTCGATCTTGTAATACGAAATAAATATTAAAAAAATACAGTTTATCACATTTAATATCAAAGCACTTTTTTATGCAATCTTTTTAGTACCAGAAAAGTTGCCGGCGTTTCTAGAGTTGATGAAATTCAATTAGCATTGCAATTATACCATTTACGACTAAAAAAGTAAATTAAAAATAAATCAATTTTATTTTCCATCATCATCAGTCTTTGCATTAAAATGAAATGAATTATTTTTCATAAAAATAAAAAAAACATGCTGTAGAGTTGTTTTTTAAAATTCTTCTATGCTTTCAAAAGCCTATGGGTGGAACATGCATGTGTGTTTGTAAATATTTATTGTGCATTTTCTTTTTATTTTATTATATTTTTCTTAGTTATTGAAACCCATAATTCTTATTATTAAGGTTGTAAACTAATTAAATGCTTCTACAATTTAATTAGTTATCATAAATCAATAAGATTTCACAAAAACAAGAAGTTCAAATGGAATACAATAAAAGTATTTATTTGCAATACAACAAGTGATGTTATTATTAAAAGTTAATTAATTTAGTTAAATTATAATAACTATTGGTGAAGCTACTATAATGTAACTTTTTCTCAGATTACAACAAAAGTTTTTAAAGTAAATTACTTATTGTTTAAGCAGGTAAAATCTACAAATTTAAAAAGAAACAGTGATTTATGAAGTTAATATTTTTAACTGTTATTTAGTTGCAATTTATTTTGTTTAATTTTGTGCTGTAATGTTTTATTATATGTATGTAATTTATTTTATAATTGGAATTGATATTACTATTTCTAAAGTTCTTTTATGTGTTTCATATAGATTCCAGTTATTTTAGGCTAGTGACAATTGATGAGACTGCTTTTCGAAAGATTCGGCAACCTAAACTCCATCCTTGTGATTATTGTGGTAAAGTATTTAAACACAAGCAGCATTTAAAGGATCACATTCGAATACACACTGGCGAAAAACCATTTCAATGTAAAAAATGTTTTCGCTCTTTCAGACAAACTCAACATTTGAAACAACATACTATTACATGTCAGTATAAATACATTGCAGTTCAAAATTTCTGAGGCACTTTATGGAAGAAACTGAAAACATGTTTTCTTAGAGTTTAATTGCTATTAATATTATCTCAAAATTGTGTAAATTAATACGAGGGTTGCTATTTATATTTCTGGCCTTGGCAACAGTAACTGTAGCTAGGCGACTGCAGACGATTTTAATCGAAAGTTTGATATTTTTAAACATAAATTCAGCAGACGATTTACCATTATAGCTTCATTTGTGTTGTTGACAGTAAATTGAAAAGTTCTTCTCTTTCAAAAAATGGAATTGAATCGTGAACATTTTCGTGCCATTATTTTTCATAACTTTCGACGTGGATTGTCAAGACAAGAGTGCTTCGATGAACTTAATTCTTTATTCAGCGATAAAGCGCCATCCTACAGCACTGTAAAAAATTGGTATAACGAATGTAATCGTGGTCGATGTTCGATCCAGGACGAATCCCGTACAGGTCGTCCAAAATCCGTTGCTGTGCCAGAAAAGATCGATGCTGTGCGTGAACTAATAAAGCAAGATTGTCATGTGACATACCGTGAGATAGAGGCATCTTTGGACATTAGTATGACTAGCATCAATAAAATATTGCATGAACATTTGAGCGTAACAAAAAATTGTACGCGTTGGATCCTGCATAATCTTACAAACGCTCAAAAAAAGGCTTGTGTCGACTGGTGCAAGGAAATGTTGGAAAAATACGTTCAAGGTACATCGAAGGCTGTGTATAACATCTACACAGGTGACGAATCATGGATCTATGCATATGAGCCGGAAACAAAACAGCAATCGTACGGGTCTTCCAAGACGAGGCAAAACCAACAAAAGTTGTTCAAGGAAGACGCACATCGAAACAAATGACTGCCTGTTTCTTCGGCATTAACGGTCATGTGGCAACAGTTGCGTTAGAGCAGCGCCGGACGGTCAATTCTGAATGGTACACGACCATTTGTTTGCCAGAAGTCATCGGAGAAATTCGACAGAAGCAGAAGAACAGGCGAATCATTCTTCATCATGACAATAGGAGCTCTCACAAACAAAGGCATTTCTGATGGAGCGAAAGATCGTACTGATGGGTCATCCGCCGTACAGCCCTCATTTGGCATCCAATGACTTCTTCTTATTCCCACACATCAAAAATAAATTACGTAGACAATGATTTGCGACCCCCGAAGTAGCGGTTGATGCATTCAAAATGCATGTTTTGGAGTTACCTCAATCGGACTAGAAAAAGTGCTTTGAAAATTGGTTCAAACGCATGCAAAAGTGTATTGATCATCATGGAGAATATTTTGAAAAACAATAAAACCAATTTCGATCCTACATATTTGTTTTTTCATTATTAGGCCAGAAATATAAATAGCAACCCTCGTATTCATATTAAGTTGATTGAATTCTTAATATGAATATATGGCTGGGCCAGTATACTATTAGGGCACAAGAGCTTGAAAATTATTTTTCCTTTACAAATTCTTATTAGGTTTGTTATGTTTTAGATTTATAGGGATCGTTAATCAAAAAAAAAATGAGAGGATTCAATATGATGAATCAAATTCAAACCCCATTGTGATGTATGTTGTCTGCTAAGGGAACAATAATTGCTTATAAATAAGTCTAGATGGAGAAAAATATTCAAACTTCAATCCACCAACCACATTTAAGCTTAGGTTTCTTCCTTGAGAAAGTAGTAGGCATGCTGAAACCGATTGGCATGCTCACATGCCGATATTACTTTCTAATACTTCTGATTATATACTGCTTGTTAATAATAATCTCGACATTTATTCCATCGATCTTAGAGCTCTTCTGCAATGCTTATTTGTGCAAAATGAGCTATGAATAACAACTCCATCATTATACCTAATACTTTTTTATTAGTAATACTTAATATACTTCTAACTTAAAATAAAAATATTGATGTGGATATAATGTTAATGTCTATTTTTTTACATTAATAATAGACACTGTCATGTTTACATTGACATGCATGTGAAAAAGATACTTGGAGGTATATAAATTTCATTTGGACTTGTATTTTTGCACATTAATATGACTTGCAGAGCATGAAAAAATTATTTTATTTTTCAAGCCTTTTAGAGCACATTAATAAAAAAGGCTCCATAATTATTAAAGGAAAATCTTATAAGACTTATAAAATAAGTATTAATTGAGGCATCCATTTTTCAAAATAACTTGTTATCGAATGAGAATATTAGTTAAATTTGTACTATGTAAGATTTATGTTCACATGCAACCCCTATAGCATAGCAGCTGGCACTGCAGATTATTTTTTTACATTTAAGATCAGTATGGATATTTCTGTTGTAATTAGATATTCTGGAACATTACATCTTGGTTACATTTATTAGCTATTTCGATGCTTTAAATATGTATTTTTTTCTTCTTTCCTTTTTTCATGTTTCAAATTAAATTTACACAACATAAATTTCTTGTGTTCAATTTTTATCTAATTTAAATTTATAAATTCTTATATTGCTGTGCAAATGTTTGGGTAACCCTTCTTTTTACAATAATAGTCTCCTCTTGATTGTGTTTGGGTTGCAGACTAGTTTTGATTTATGAAGATGGTATTGCAGATTGACTCGGTTAATTCTGTGATCAGGCGTGTAACCAACTACAAATTGATCCTGTTTTTAAAGATAATTAGCATTTCTCTTCCATCAATTTATCTGATAATGGTATAGGTCAGGGTTAAGTAATCTATGCCTCATGAGCTTCTTTCTCTCGTGTGATTGGCTCTTTAGTAATTTAATAATACTAAAAAATTAGCTATAATATTGTCAAGCATATTTTAGTAATTTTTAGCATAAGTTTATGATAGATTGCATGCTAGAAATGAGTTCGGGTTGGCTTTTGGATGTCCAAGGCTGAAGAATTTTTATCCAAGCATAATAGTGTGATGAACATAGAGTCTGAGATGTAGGCCAGATAAAGGCCAAATTTATATACTACTGACACTCATAAATGTCTAAAAGAATTCACTACAGAAAATCAAAATCTTAAGCTAAATAAAAGTCATATGACGATTTGTGTTACCCTAAAAAACAAAAGCATCAAACTATAATTTTTTATACCTTCTAAATTTTACATTCATAATAATTGAACCAAATGTTTCTTTGAAAGTAGTAAAAAGCTTATGAAAATTTAGCTCAATCTTTTTTGTAGCTAACAAGCCTGTCACATCTCTATTGCATGCATCTAAACTTAGATTTAGCTAATTTGACTTCCCACTTTAACGACACCACTCAGAACTGATGGCTCTAGGAACTGATATTTGAAGTATGGAACTATATTCCTGATTTTTAAGACCAAATGAAAACATGTGTTTGACAATTTTAAAATCTATTTACTATTGTGAACAGTTATTTTCAAATGTGACTATTATTTTAATACTAACTTAAAAAGTAAGCTTAATCACATTTTGAACTACTTTGTGCCTCTACTTAATCCCAAAAAATCTCTTTAATGTTACATATTTGCATTTCTAATCCCCCCCCCCGACTTAATTTAGCTTTTAAGCAAAATAATATAATATACTGAAATAAGGTTTTTCCTATTGGTCATAATAAAGTTAGAATAGATAATAAAGTTATTGGTTTAATTATAATAAAGTTATATAATAAAGAATAAAGTTAATCATAAATAAAGTTATTGGTTTAATTATATGTTTGGTCAGTACTTAAAATAAAATGTTTTGGTTTTATAATAAATGCACATTTCACTGTAGATAACAACTGTGAAATTTTTTTCTAAAAATTCCTATATATACCCATGATTAGCTCGTTAAAATATTAATTTACCACCTTCTAAAAAGTGACTCTTTATGTCCTGAAAGGTATAAATGATGCCAGTAACTTTTATATAATCTGATTTGTTTCATTTCTAAAAAGCTCCACTTGTTTTCATTCATTTACTAGGAAATCTATTGCATCAAATAGTAACTAAAAAACCATAAAGAATTTTTTTATTTTTTAAAAATGTTCATTATAAAATTGAAATAATGTAAAGTATATTAATCTGATTTTTCTGGTTGGTTGTCTTAAAATTTCCAAACAACATATTCTTTTTTGTAATTTTTTTTTTTTAGGGCACATTATCTTTCTGTGTTTAATTAGATTTTTTTAGGGCACATTATCTTTCTGTGTTTAATTAGATTTTTTTTCTTCCATTTGTTGCTCGAAAACTATTCCTCTAATATCTCCTAGGAGGTTGCTTTCTTTAAGTAAACATAGGTCTCACAATCCCTAAGTACTCCAGTGTTCTTTTTAGTTTTTTTTTTTGCAATGTAATTAGTANTGTTCTTTTTTTTTTTTTTTTTTGCAATGTAATTAGGGCATTATAAATTATTCTAAAACTCTACAGACAAGTTTATTGGGTAAATAAAATTGTTTTGCGAAAATATGATAAACAGGTAGTAGATATTTCATGGTTCTGCAGGCAATTGTAAATAATGCAGTTTCCTGCATTTTCACGCAATTTGTATGGCCCTAGTCATACTGAATCTGTTGCAGCTTGATTTCTAGTGTACTTAATATTGTTTACATTTTACACAGTATAGCTGATTTTAGTTCTTGTAGCATTTTACTCTAGATTCAATTGGGCCCCATTTTTTTGTAAATGTAAGAAAATATTTATTTTCATAAAATGTCTTAAAATGCACTGTTTCTTAATTTTTGCACTGTTTCTTAAAATGCACTGTTTCTTAACTGTGATTTATGAGATTTTGTGTAAGTTATGAAGTATATTTTAATCTCCACTGTAAAGTGGTGTTTCTTTTAAATCTTATTAAAAGGTGATTGTATGTATATGCTGTAGTGTATTTGTTTACGGGTTCTAATTGAAAATTCTAAGAATTTTTAATGAAATTTTATAAATTTAAAATGCATAATATTTTTTTTCTAAATGAATTGCTCTATTAAATCATTTATTCAGGCTTCATAATTATTTAATTTTTAAACTTTCAATTGTCTTGTTCTGTAGAATTTAGAGCTCAAAGTTATTGAAGTTAAACTTAGTTGATATTTTTCCTGGGGAATAATAATTTAAGATGTTTCTTTTATGGTCATAACCATAACTAATCTTGATTAATATTCATTATTTCTATTCTTTCCCCTTTCTATTGAAGTCTGAATTTTTAAAAATAAATTATAAGGTAGATTTCAATAGGTTAAAGGTAAGCTAATTTTTCCATGTAATAATCCATGGATAATTTTTTCGTGCTAATACTATAATTTATATTATATTATTATTGAATTTACTTATATTAATCATACTAATATTGTTAATATATTTTCCGTTCTATAATTATTAGTTTTCTTTTAGATTTTCAAATCCTGATGTAATAGCCCTTCTAAAAAATAATACATGTCCATATTATTATAAAAAGAAATCTAACAATTTTGCATGAAAAAAATAAATAAATAATTGTTAAAAAAATTAATATTATGAATTAATATACTAAATGTTTTCTTTTTCTTTTGTATAAACCGATAGTATCCTTTAATTCTCTAGTACTCTAAGAGCTAGATGTTTATTGGGAAAACAAAATTGGTGGATTTAGGCAATCAATATATTTTAGTCTGCAATTGTTATTGCTTTATTAAAAAGACTGTAAAATTATTAAAATAGAATGATTATTTAGGCAAAACAATTTGTTTTTGACAAGTTTTATTGAAACTGTATATAAACCAATTTTATAGGTTAAAATTCATTCAAATATGTATGTATTTTTTTCATTTTATCTGTTATCCATTATTATTTATTCAATGTACACATTGTTAAAAATTCACTCCCATGTTATTTATTTTTTGAATTATTAATGTTAAAAAATTGTTTTTAGAATTTGATTTAGTCTAAAAAATTTTGGCCTATGTGGTTGGTCTTTTGTTTTGCCGAACTGTGATTTTTATTTGAAACTTCTAAATAGTTTTTATTATTTATGGATACTGCGAATAATGTTTCATGTTCTTAATTGTGTTTTAATATCTTCCTTGTTTTTTATTTGATATTCATAGGCTATTGTAATGTATAAATTTATTTGCTTCTTCCTAAAAATATTTCCATTATTCTCTGGAACTTAGTTTTGTTTTAATTTAATTGATTAAATTTTATCTTTTCTTTTTTTATTTGTTTAAAATTTTCCAGTTCTTGTTTACAATGCTTTAACTATGAATATAATAAAAATTATAAAATATGATAAACATTTGGTATAAAATGCAATAACTACAACTTATTTGAGGATATTTTGTATTAATAGTAAATAATGGATTTTTCGCTTATATTTTTTTCGAATACATTTTTCACTTTAATTTATATTAAAGTGCATATTATTTGTGGCATTCATTTACAGACATTAATTATAATTAATATTGAATTATAACTAAACTCATTATTGTAGTTATAGCATATGAATCTTTTCGAATCTTTATTGCTTTAACTAATTAAAATTCCTCGTTTCCACCCATTGAAATAGTTTGTAAAACAATAATATTTTTTGTCTTGATTTTTTTTGAGATTCAAGGCTTCTATCTCTTCCTACATTCATTTGTACTTTAAATAAAAATAAATTGAAATTTGTTTTGGTAAATTCTTCAACTTTCTTTTATTCAGATTTTTCTTGGCAATAGATGCATTTTTTTTTAGAAACCTTTATGTTATGTAAAGTATGGATAATTGTTGAAAAAGTGCTAAAATATTTCAATGAACTAGCCTTTCTGCTTTTTATAAACCTCTGTCTTTCATTTTATTAATTTAATATTTGTGAAAAATATGTGTTAATCTTAAATAAAATTAAATTTGAATTGCTCAGCTGCAAATTTGAAACCATAATTTATTATGCTTAAATAATGTTTATTTTCATAATTTACATTGAAAGTATTTACGAATAGGTTTCAATCAATGACTGTGAAATTTTACCAGTACTGGTTGATATAATCTTGTAAATTTTCTTGTTGCCATTTTTTTTTTTGGAAATAAAATTTTTTAACTATGCCTTTGTTAAATAAACGTAAATATTAATTAATCTCACTAAATAGGTAAATCTATTTCTTGCCTTTGTTTTATTTTCTGTTATAACTTATATTTATGGTTTATTAATTTAAATGAATTTTCAAAAAGTAATCTATTCTAAAGAAAATAAGCTGTCATTTTAAATTTTATTATAGTAAATGTTAACATTTATGCAGCTGAAATAAAATAAGACGTAAGTACTTTCTTAACAAGCAAATTTTATTTTAATATAAATGTGTTGTATTAAGAATAATATTGTTTTAATCACTTGGTCAGTATTTGTAAACAGTATTATCTCACTTTAAATTCAGACGCTTAAATTAAAATTGACAATTATCAGTCATTTCTAACAAATATTTCAGTGTTAAAATTTTTTTCTTTATTGTTTTGCTGGAGTAACAAATTTAAGTTCAATTCCATGCTACTATTTTATCATTAAAAATGTTGCGTTAAAGGAAAATATTTATGTTATAAATTTGTATGATAATGTTATATTTGTATGAATTTCTCTAAAGGATGAATTATGTGAAATAAAATGTGTTATATCTTTAAAACAATTTGGTATTTTCATTTCATGTACATTATTTTGTGGCATAAAGAATGATATTTTATATAACAGTTGCATTTTCATTATTGGTGATTGATACCTTGAACAGAAAATTCAAAGTTTTTAATTTTTTTAAAATTCTAAACAGATGCTGTTCATTTTACTACTATCTGAATAAAATTATTTTATTTAAATTTCATAACAAACCATGAAAAAATAGATTTTGCATAACAATCTACTTCTAAAAAGTGTATAGTTTGAAGAAATATAAATTTTATAATATGTTATTTGTAGCCAGAAATTAGTAATTTTTTATTTCTTTGAAGTAATTGTCTCGCATAATTTTTTTCCTTTGTCAGTGATGCAACAGCACAGACTGGGCTTTAGCCTTCTTCAGAATTGAATACCAGGAACCTTATGTATTTGCTTTGTCTTTCCATCAAGTTATTTTCAATGTTTTTAGATCACCATTGAGACAGCCCAACTAAATAAGTTTTGGTCACCCTTTGTTTCAAGTGCTGGCTTGTTTGACTATAAATACTTTTTTAGTAGCCTTAGTGACATTAGCTCTAATTAGATGGCCAGCCCATCTTAACTTTTAGACATTATTAAAATTAATTATGTCTAGATTTTTGCAAATTCTGTATTTTTTTCTCTAAATTCTGTTTAGATCACTTCCAAAAATGCTTCTTAAAAATTTTCTCTCAAAAATTGCCAGGGTTTCTTTATATTTTTCTGCCAATGCCCAAGTTTCAGCTGCATGAGTTAAAATAGGTCTAATTCATTGGTCATGTGAAGTTAAACCTTAAATAATTTTACTCATTGAAACAGTGGTTGGTAGAAGTAATTTTGCGATGGATTTTGAAAATTGTATTGTTCCGTATGGTAAATTTCAAAACCTGAAAATGTTAACTTCTTATTTCGAATTCATAACTGCCCATTTCTAAAAAAGAGAATGATTTTATTAAGATTTTGTACATGGCAAATATGTGGTTTTAGTTTTGATTAATGTTGAGATTCAATTTAGTAGTTTCAATTTCCAAGGAAATTAATGGTAGCTTAAGTGCTTCAGGTGTTCTGGCTATTACATCAATGTCGTCAGCATAAGCAAGAATCTGAATGGACTTTTAAACGATAGTTCCTTTAGTGCTTATGTTTGCATCTTCAATAATTTTTTCGAATGCTAGATTAAAGGATATGCAAGGTAGTCCATCTCTTTCTCTCAGTCCATTTGTGATGGTTATAGGTTATGACAAGTTGTTTTGTACTTTTGCTCCTAATTTAGTATGTGTTAATGTAAAAGAAACTTGTTTAATAATCTTTTTAGGGAGGTATGAAATTTTTTCACTTCATTCAGAGTTGTAAAGGTGCATTGCGAAGACAGAATGCAATATATCTTATCTGGTAAGTGAAAGTGGCCAATATGCAATGCTAAACACATTGCTATAATCATTGACCTCGAAATTATGGAGCAACTAGCCATTGCAGGAGTGCTTTATAAATTAATTGAAGCTTGTGAGTACCCCTTAAATATTTCTGGATTCTAGAAATTAATATATGCCTGGCAATTTCAGAGAATTGAAAATTTTAATTGTTTAATTTATCATAGTTTTTGTAATTCAAATATATATATATGTAATGGGGGATATCCTCTAAATTATTATCTGGTGTCAGCATAATATCTATTATAAAATCTACACTTTTTTGTTAAACACTGCAGTAAATTTTTATTGTTTAAATGATATATTTTACTTTTTCAGCTCACTCAAAATTTAGAAATAGCAAAAATTCAAGGAATGGAGATGGTGCTTCCGACTTGCAACAAACTTTATCTCGTTCTCCTACTGCAAAACTGCAATGTAATTTTTGTGGAAAAATGTTTTGGTATAAAAGTGAATTAACTATACATTTAAGGGTACATACCGGAGAAAAACCTTTTCAATGTAATATTTGTTCTCGCCAATTTAAAACTAATCAGTCTTTGCGATATCACAAAGCTACTGTTCATTCTAACTAATATAAATAACTTTATGTATTTTTTTTATTTATTATCGTACTTGAATTATTTTGTCTAAGTGTAAGTTTCAAACAATTGTAAAAAAATTTTCTTTTTTCAGCTCATTCAAATATTCAAGTTATTAAACATGGAAGAATTCAACATGGCAATTTCGGATTTTCACAACGAAATATTTTGTCTGCAAAATTGTTTGAGTGCAATGTTTGTGGAAAAAAGTGTTTGTATAAAAGTGATTTAACTATTCATTTAAGAGCACATACTAGTGAAAAGCCATATCATTGTAATAAATGTTCTCGCAGCTTTAAGTCTAATCAGTCTTTACGATATCATAAAGCTGTGGCTCATCCTGATAACTAATAATGGAAGTTTCTTATCTGTGTATAAATACTGCAGTTTCTCAAATGTGAGCCAAAAATGATATGATTTATATTACTTTTTAAAATATCTATTGCAAAAGTTTTTACTCTTTTCAGCTCGTTCAAATTTCCAACAACTCAAACCTGCAAGAAGTCAACGAGGCAATTTTAAGTTGCCTCAATATCCTCGGACTAGTGTTTCATCTGCAAAATTTGAGTGTGATTTTTGTGGAAAAAAGTTTTTGTACAAAAGTGATTATAATGTTCATTTAAGAGTACATACAGGTGAAAAGCCTTTTCAATGTAATAAGTGTTCTCGTAGTTTTAAGTCAAATCAGTATTTGCAATATCATAAAGCTACCTCTCATTCTAGTAATTAGTTATGTTTTTATATGTGTAAATATTGCAATTCCTCAAGTGTTAATCTACAATAATTTAATGTATGATAATTGTTAAAATATCTATTGCAAAAATTTTTATTGTTTCAGCTTGCTCCAAATTTCTTCCATTCAAAAAGATAAGAAGTCAACAAGGCAATTTTGGATTGCCACAATATCCTCAAACTAGTGTTTCATCTCCAAAATTTGTGTGTAATTTTTGTGGAAAGAAGTTTTTGTACAAAAGTGATTTTACTGTTCATTTAAGAGTACACACCGGAGAAAAGCCATTTCAATGCAATAAATGTTCTCGAAGCTTTAAAACAAATCAGTCTTTAAGATATCATAAAGCTACTGTTCATTCTAGTAGCTAATAAAATTTGATATGTGTGCATAATTTTCCAAGTGTGAACTTATTTTTTATAGTAATTTATACTTTTTAAATAATTTATTTCACATACAATTTTAGATAATATAAATTTCTTTTTTTTATACACTTATTAAGATCTTAATAAGTAATAACTATGGCAAATTTAACATCTTAAAAAATTTTACCTGTATATGAACTTGAAAATTTATACTTTTTCTATTTTTTTGTTCTAACCTAATTATTTATAAATCATTGTTAAATTATGTTTATTTTAAAATTATTTTATTATGATTATTGTTTACACAATCATGTTGGCGTGAAAATGAATCCTGATCTCTACTGGTTCAAGAACATTATCTCCTTAAATATTTTTATTGAACCAAAAATTCAATATTAAGAACTACATAAATATATTATTATTATACATAATTGTTAAGATATCTATTGCAAAAATTTTTATTGTTTCAGCTCGCTCCAAATTTCTACCATTCAAACAGATAAGAAGTCAACAGGGCATTTTTGGATTGCCACAATATCCTCAAACTAGTGTTTCATCTGCGAAATTTGTGTGCAATTTTTGTGGAAAGAAGTTTTTGTACAAAAGTGATTTTACTGTTCATTTAAGAGTACATACTGGTGAAAAGCCATTTCAATGCAATAAATGTTCTCGAAGCTTTAAAACAAATCATTCTTTAAGATATCATAAAGCTACTGTTCATTCTAGTATCTAATTAAATTTTGATGTATGTACATAATTTTTCAAGTGTTAAGTTATTTTTTATAGCTTAATTTATAGTCATTTAAACTTTTTAAATAATTTATTTCACATACAGTTTTAGATATTATAAATTTCTTTTTTTTTATACACTTATTAAGATCTTAATAAGTAATAACTATGAGAAATTTAACATCATAAAAAATTTTACATGTATATAAACTTGAAAATTTATACTTTTTCAATTTTTTGTTATCACCTAATTATTTTTAAATCGTTAAATTATATTTATTTTGAAATTATTTCATTATGCTTATTCTTTACATAATCTTGATATGAATCCTGGTGTGTAGTGTTTCAAGAACATTATCTCTGTAAATATTTTTATTGAACAAAAAATTAAATATTAAGAAATACATAAATATAATATTTTGAAAATATTACTTACTTATACTACTTGTATTCAAATTATCTGGTAATTGTTAAATGCTAACTAAATGTATAAAAGTACACATCTATCCTAATTTAGCATAGATTAACTGCAGATACGAAAATTCTTCAAATAATTAAAATTAAGTTGACTGGTAATATTTTTTTCTTGTTATGTTAAAACACATCTTTGCTTGTAAATATTTTTTTGAACTCCATTTTGTAATAAAAATAATTTTATAGTTGTATTAGCAGATCAAAAGGTATGTTCCAATTGTTTATCTGTGTAGTTTAACCAGATCGAAGTAACTATGATATAGTCTTAATGTGAGAAAATAATTTGCTGCAGAAGGTCTAATTAATTTCCAAAACAAAATGTGTGCAAAATAGCATTGTCGATTTTGCATCGTGGCTTGAAATTATGCTTCATAAATTGCAAATAATCATTTGATAATATTTTAAAATATTTCATCAAATATTATATTTCTGCATAAATTAGCTTTAAAAAAATTGATGATAAATCAGCTCTAAGAAAACTGATGATAACCAGAGAGTTTGTGGCAGTGACCTTATGTTATGCAGGAAATATATCATAAAGAATAAACAAATGTTCAAGCATTGTGTCAAAGCACCTTTTGATAAAAATTTTAAAATATATTAACTGTTTTTTACAGCATTTAAAGAAATTGCAAAGTAAAATGAACATACCGAATTTATTTTTTGCAATTGTGAATTAATGTTTCTTTGTCCTCTCTTTTTTGGGGAATTTTAACTGCAAAATTGCTATGACATGTTTATTTGTTTTTGTCTTTCATATTGTACTATATATTGTTTATGTATCTTTAATGCATATTGTAATTTGGCATCTTAAAATAAATTTCATTACCAAATGCCAAAAACAAATGTTAAGTTTAATTTTTAAATAGGTATCATATTGCCATCACCTAAATATTATGTATATGCTTTAATTGTAGTATTAGCTATTCTCTTTTGCTAAAATTAACTTTTGACAAATAAAAATGCTTATTCTACAAAACCATTTTTTATTATGTGAAATATTTATATTTTAACAATAAGACAACTCTTGTATGTTGGTTCTTTTTACCAATATTCTTGTTTCCTTTTACATATAAGATCTTACCAGCAGTATTTACTTTCTTACAACTATATTGTTTGTAATAAAAAAGCATATATATATTGCATATATGTTACATATGTTTAATTGGTCTGCTTTTTAAATTAGATTTTTTCTTATGTCCTTTATGTTAAAGGTGTAATAAATGATGGTGAACTGTAAGCAATTTTGATTCATAAACTTGAGGAAGTTTTGTTATTATTTTTTATATATTACCAAAACTACTCTAAAATATTTTTGGGTGATAAATTGTCTTTCCAATTCTTCCTTTACAAGCTTTTCTATTTAATGCAGCATTATTTGTTCTTATAAGGCAATATTTTCTGTTGTAGTTCATCAGCACAAGTCTCGTGGTTTAACAAGACCTGACCAAATCACTACATATACAGCGTCATCGCAAAAGATAAGCTCTTTTCGGCCCAATCGTTATCAATGTCAGTATTGTGGCAAAAGATTTTATCAATCGTGTGACTGGAAGAAACATGTTAGAGTTCATACTGGTGAAAAACCTTACCTTTGTAAAATGTGTGATAGAAGATACAAGCAAAAAGAAAGTTTGAAATATCATATGGCTACTGCTCATGGGGATATGATATAATTAGCAGTAGTGTAAGAGTTTATGGGAAACTTTTATGAAAATGGAACATGGAATTCAAATTTTTTTTCATTGTGTTTGTTATACTTATAATCTGCATAGTGTGTTGTGTAATTTTCACTTGTCTGTCACTGTAATAAATTTAATTGATATTTAAATAATTTCCTTTTTCATAATTGTTAGTATTTATGAACTTATTTTTTTCAAAGATTTTTAAAACTAAAAATGCCATCTATTTTTTAAAAAAACAATTTGAACTCTATTTACTTACTCTATTACTACTATCTCTATTAACTCTATTTACTAAAAACTGAAGCAGAAGTATATACTTGACTAAAAACTTCACTTGTTTTAAAAGAATACGAAGATAATAATAAAAGTCTATACGCTTAAGTACTTCAAAGAGAATTTGTGCCTATTTTTGAGTGCTTAAAACATATCGACTTTTAATATCTTCATATTTTTTTTAAGCTAATGAAGTTTTTGATTATGAATTATTGATACCCTTTACAATACCCATCATCAAAAATAGTAAAATGTAAATATATTAACAATAACAACAATAGTAAATGTAAATATATTAACAATTATTGCATATAATTAAAATGAATATTATTTAACGAAATAGATCAAATTATAATTCAATGTAATCAATAACAAATTCATTTCAAAAAGTAAGTAATAATTTAAATGTGTATTCAAAATTAAACAAAAAATTTAATTTGTATCTTAATTACCATAAAGTTTTATTTTAATAATTCCCTGCTAATGCAAAGTAAAATATTATTACATATATAAAATAAATTAATTAAATTTAACAATTTAGGTTTTTACTGTTAATGATCATTTTACAATTTTTACTAAAATAGATCTTAAATAATTCTAAAAATTTGGAATTTCATGTATGATACCCACAAAACAGTTAATACAAAATGTAAATCAAGATGCAATATAGTAAACGGCATAAATCCACTCAAATTTAAGTGAATTAGTAAGTATTTTTGGATCAATAGGGATTATATAATGATTTAAGTATTTATTTAAAAATCGCGAAGCAATTAGATTCAGAAGCCAAGGCTTTTGAAATTTAGTGTTTTTTGAAAATGTTTTTGAATTCATTAAAACTTTATAGGCTTGTATTACTTTATATATGAGTCAACTTATTTATTTGTTAAAATTGATTATTGAAAGAAATCACTTAGTTTATAAATCTCCACAGTTGTGAAAAAATATTTAGCCTTATGCTTTATAGAAATAAAGTAATACTTTCTGCTTTTAATGACATATGAGGATATTAACTATACAGCATTAATATTTCATTAGTATGTGTGTTTTTTTTAAAACTTTTAACTTTGTTATTATTTTATCAATCTACAATGTTTGTTTTGAAGTTAGTATTACCTGTATAGTGTATTATATTAAAATTATACTTATTACCATGATTAAATATTTTACGATGCAAATAAATGCAAAAGAAAATTTTGAATAGGGTTTAAATTGTGATGTTTAACATTTATTTCTGAGACCCATCTCAATATATTTCTTTAGTTCTGCATGATGCACATTTGTTAAATTAAAAACTTAAAGCTCTATGTAAGTTTAAAGGCGTACTTGAATGTAAGGCATAGTTTCATAAAAAAATTTTAATTGAAGAAATAAATAAAACATAAATGGAAAGAAATAGGAAATAAAACATTTATACATTGTATCTTTTTTAAATGTATGAACTTGAACAGATAGAAAGCTGATTTGTATTGCACACCTATACATATTAGCTATATTTAAATATACATCAGGAGAAAATACTTGCAAGCTCTCCCAGTTTGAAAATTACATGCTACAATGATGTAATTATAATGCCAAAAAGAAAGTTAAAAGTAGCAATAAAAAAGTATATATAAGAAATATTTTTTCTTGTCACATTTACTTTAAAAATTTTATATTTGGACCTTTTTAGACCAAATCTATTTTAATGTATTGTGGCATACGCAAATGTCTTTTAATTATTTTAAAAGAGTAAAAATTAAGAACAAAATTATTTCAATACCAGCTTTATTCTTTTTATATGCACTATGGGGAGGTATTGCATCATAATGACCTATTTTTTTATGCAATTAAGGCGATGTATCACTTGAAATGATCTTTATTTCTTATCAACTTTGTGTTTTGTTTTAAAAATGTTTGGGTAAAAAAGTATAATGACCAAGTCACCAAAAACTCTTAGATGAAAATGAACATTGATGCCAGCCGACTTAAAAGATTTGATCTTTGAAAAGTCGTAGCATACTGAGTTCATTCCTGATAAATTTTTAAAAATTTATTGAAGCTTATCAAACTTTTTTTAAAAAACAAAATGATGAAAGAAAAAAATTGGGGAAAAATCTGTGTAGGAGCTTTTTTAATTTATACTTTTCTTTCCTCTCCCACTCTTTGATAATTGTTTACTTTAGTAATCTAACTTTAATTTTGTTAAATTTATAATTAAATTATAGGTGATATATTTATCAGCAATTTTATATACCTATTTTTTTTTCTTTTCAGATAATTTTCAGTATTTCTCTCTAAACTTTCTAAATCAAGGAAAAGAAAATTCTACTTCTATCTGTGTGAAACCAGTTCCTCTAAAATTCCAGTGTGCATACTGTGGTAAAATGTTTGGTTTTAAAAGTTTATTAATTCGACATCTACGACTTCACACTGGTGACTCACCATTTAAATGTGACAAATGTTTCCGAAGTTTTAGACAAAACCGTTCACTAAAATACCACTTATTGACATTTCATAAATAATCTTGAAGATTTAAAGTAAACTTTAAATTTAATATATTGCATTTCATTGGTCTAGTTCCTTACATATATGTTTTGAATGAATCCCAAATCATCGCTAATGGCCCTTGTGTAGTTTTAATGTGACATAATCTTATAAGAAAAGGTTTTAAACTATTTTATTTTTGTATTTTGATTTGGATATGCTTTTATTTAAACTACACATTACATGACGTGATATATTTATATCTAATATTTATGATTTTTTCATTGTAAATGGTGTTTCATTGACGTTTTTTATTTTTATATTAAATGTGTTCGTTATTATCACTTTGTAACATTGATTTTATGTATTAGTATGTTAAGATATATAAGTTTTTGGATCTGGTTTTTATACATGTTTTTCTCTATATATATATGGCTCGTTACATCTTAGCTCTGTTTTAAGATTAGGTTAAACTGCCTTATTATGTTTTAACAATATTGAACTGCTTTATACATATATGTTGCTTTAAATTTTATTTTAATTGATAAAATATATTTGATGAAAGTGTGCAGTTGATAAACATTTAATTCCATATTCGTATATTGTTTCTTTTAACGTATGTTTTCTTTAATGTTATTTGTTTTTATTCACACATTTAGATCTTTGTTGCAGTATTTTATAGATGTTTTTTTTTTCATTATTTTTTGCTTTTTTTTTTAAAAAAATATTTTTTTTAGATGTATAAGATTTCAGTAGATGACTTCTAATATGCATAATACATATTAAGGATTTATGACTTTTCTACCCTCCTCCCCTCATTAAAAATCTTAAAATAATTTTGTAAAATATGAAAAGGGAAAAAAATGTATTATTTTTGTTATAACTGATAATAAAGGTTATTAAATATTATGCAGGCAGTCATAAAATTTTTATACCTCATTTCTTATGAATCACATTTTACAGTAAAATAATAATTACTCATTTAATAATTATTTTTATTTGTAAAAAATGCATATTCTCTATATTTTCTTGAAATTGGTTTTAGTATCAAAATAATTAGTGAATTGATAAAAAGGTGGGATCTTGTGAAATTTATGTAACTTTATTTTTTCTTGTTATCGTAAAATTTTGTGTGAAATGTGAAAGAATATTTTATTTGAGTTAGTTTTTTTCAAATTTGTTGTCATCCTTTCCCATGATAAAGTTACTTAAGTCTACTTAGTCTAGTTATTTAAAATGTCACACAGTGTTGAATGGAAGAATAAGCTGTATCAAATAGTCAATCTAATTTGATTTTTTTTCTATTATTTTAATAATAACCGCGTGTTATTTGATTCTTATCAAACATTGAGTTAATTGACTATTTTGACTCTGCAATTTGACTCTTATCAAATATTGAAATGAATTTATTTGATGAGGTGACCTTTATTTCCTAAGTCCGATGAGAAAAGAAGAAAAAACTCACAATCTTAACGTTTTCAAAAATTAACTACTGTTTGGGACTTTTAAGCCTTTCCGTTTCAGCATTTTTATTTTCTTATTTTATTTCATTGCTGATATGGAACAGCCGTTCTGTATCCGATTTGCCGCTGCATCAATGTTCGCTCTAAAGCGTTTTAATTTTAACACTACCCAAATGATAAAAAAACAAGCATTGGGGCAAATTTCATTAAGGAATTTTTAATCCGCATTTGTTTACACGTAGAAGGTAACCGTAAAACATCTTGCGTTAACTCAAAGATCCTTAACTCATGATTTGTCTATAATTGTCGATATGGTCTCATCTACTTATGAGGTGCAAGTCGGGGACACTTTATAAATTAACCAGCTATTGCGAGGATTCAAACCTGGCTCACCTCATTTGAAAGCATGAGGTCTATACCACCTCAAGTTTCAGCTGATCCATTTTCAATTAATTTTTAATTAGTTTAAAAATTTTATATTTTGGTCAAAATTCTTTTTTCCTTGAAAGTTTACTATGCTTTTTCTTTATTTTGTTGAAATTACAGTCCATTTTAAATTATGGAAATTTTTCTTTTTATATTCTTAAAAATTATTTTTATTAAAATAAAAATTTATTATTTTTAGGTTTGTCTATTTTTGAAGACCAATCTCTGCTTTCTTATAAATATATGTGCTTAATTCCCATGAAAGTTTTTGTTTTAATTTAAATGTGTTTAAAAATGAATTCAATGAATGAAAGTAATTAACTCATGCTAAAATTCATTAATGAATAAAAATTAAGCTATTTTACTAACTACAATTGATATTTGTTTGTATCTTAAAATAAGTAATATGGCTTGTTATAAGCTGACTGTCGATAATTCATAGCATGGGATAAGCTACTACTCAAGTTTTTAGCTACTATTCAAGTTTATGATAAAAATTTGCAAATGACAGTCGCATATATCATGGTGCGTAGCATTTTTAAAAAGTGCTTAAAGGTGCTTATTTTCAATTTTCGGGTTTTAAAAGCCCTTAAAGGGACTTTTTTCATGGGATGTTTTTAAAAAGTACTTAATTTTCCCTTTTCGAAAATTAGATTTTTTTCTTTACCGTGTCGATTTTCTCTGCATATTATGCAAAAGCAGGGTTTTCACATTGTTCTATTCAACATTTTCACAATTCCATTTCGACATGCCGTTGGTCCGTAACGCATGATAACACTAATCATGTTACATGTTTGATGAAATACTTGGAAGTGACTACTGAGCTCGACTCAGAGAGATTCTTGCACTCTCATGTGCAACTCTGCTGTATTTTGCTAGATATTTTCAATTTCATGCTTCATTTTCCACCCTCTGAAATCGAACCGAAAATCCTCTCTTTCTTTTTAGGGTGGCTAATATAATCAAGAAAAGAATTCTTTGTCAGAAACTAGTTATTTTATTAAAGTCTTTGAAAATTATTTTGCATTTTGTTAATGTATATAGTGCTTAAAAATATTTTTTAAGTGCTTAAAAAGTACTTTAAAGGTGCTTATTTTTTGTTGAGAGATTTGGCTACGCAGCCTGTATATGAAATAAGTGTTTTTATCCCCTCTGCCAGTATGTTTAAAAATAACCATTGCATTAATTGAGACATTTTATGGTATATAACTTTACTTTAAGTTTTTCTCTGTGAGTGATTTATATAAAAGTTGGTGCATTAAGGGTATAGAAACAGTGAATAAATTTTGTGATATTCAAAAACAGTGAATGAATTACTGCATGTGAGAAAATTGCGTAATTTCTTAAACTTAAATGTAATTATGTATGAATTCTTTTAAATTGAAAAGACTAATAAAGATTTAAAAATTTTCAGTGCTTGTTTGCTTAAAATTTCATGAATTTTTTGATAAATATACTTTCACTCTAAAAGTATTTTGATTGTATATTTTTTAAGTTCCACAGTGTTTTGAATATAGTCACATTGAATATAGCAATGCTAAAGTTTGGTGTTTATGATTAAATCATGTGAATCTAAAGTCTTTGTTGTACATTATATATGTTGTACGTAAAAAATAATTAGTTTTTATAGATTTTCCAAGGCTTAAAAGAAGTTTTCTGATTTTTAGCAGTTTGCAATTCAAAGATATATCGAAGTAGTCACTTGCTATAGAAGTTTTATTCCTTGATTCATTACTATCTTTTTATTACAAATACAACCAAATAAAAACCATGTATCAAAAGCAATGCTTAAAAGTATTAGCAATCTGAGAGGTCAATGTTACAATTTTTGCATTTATCAGAACTAATAAGAGTTCCTAAATTTAATTGGTTTTGTAATATAAACGTTAATAAATATTTTGCTTCATTTACTTATATGTGTGTATGATATGGTTGATACATTAATAAATTATTTCAGATAAATTTATGTCTGAAAGTTCTAGAAACTTGTATATTCGTGAGATTCTCTCAAGCAAGCCACCACCAAGATTTAAATGTGACTTTTGTGGTAAAGTCTTTCACTACAAGTGTCTTTTGACAAAGCATATTAGAGTCCACACTGGAGAAAAACCTTTTGAATGTGATAGATGTTCTCGAAAATTTAAAACCAAAGAAACTTTGAGATATCATATTGCCTCATTTCATGAAGGTTTTATGTAAGTTATACTTTTCAAAGTTTGTATTGTTAAAATATTTTTATTTATTCCTTACTTTATTTGAAAATATAGTAAAATTTAAACTTAGTGCTTTTTATAAACGCATTTTAGGTGCAAAACAATTTAATTTTAATTTATCATGTTATTTAGAATAAGGTTTTATAGAATTTGGAAACTGTTAAAATATTTTGAATGGTGTTGTTAGTCATCAAAAGAGTATAGTAGAAATAAAATTTATTGCTGCTCTTATTTCAAATTTTTAAATTTTAAAAATTTATATTAATAAAATATTTGGAAAAAAAATATGCAACTAAGTTCCAGAACTCAGCTTCAATTATAGTATTGGTAATACAAATTAGTTCAGTCCATTTTCAAAAGATGGCAAACCCGTTTAATAATCACTTGCTTAAAGACATTGTTTCAGACCTCATTTTCATCAATAACTTTTAAACAGTGGTCGTAAGTAGCGCACTACTTACTACTGTAGCGACTACAGTAGGGAGACTACTGTAGTTGCTACATTTTTTTGTAGTTAGTAGTGTAGTGTGCTACTTTTTTGAAAAAGTAGTAGTGAGTAGAACGATACAAAAAAACCCCAGTAGTTTCTAGTGATTCCTGGCAACTACTTTTAGCGTTAGTTTAGTAAATAAACAAAGTTCTAACACAACTTATTGTTTGTATTTGATTGGTACAAATCTTAGTGGATGCAATAAAAATGACCCTGCTTTAACAAGAGTAATATTTTAATGCATAGAATCACATGTAACTAATATTTAAATTAGCCATCATGAAAAATAGATAATTAATCACTTTGGTCACACTTTCACATGCGAATGTACACTCGGGAAATATTGATATTATTTCAAAGGAAGGGAACGTATTTTTTGATGTACTTAATTTCTTGGACAAAATAAAAGAGCATTAAACAATTAAAAAATTTCACGTATTTGATAATTTCACATTTTTTAAATAAAATATTTGCTTTTGAGAGGGAGCTTGTTTTTCCAACCACTTCTTTTAAATGACTGCTTATGATTTTGATATTTATTGAATTTTTCAGATCATTCTACAAAATTTTCCATTTAATATTTTTTTTCTATTTTGTAATAAAATTTTTTTAAAGTATTTATTATTTTTGCAAAAGAATAAATAGCTTTTTTTTATATTTTTCTTCTTTCTTTTCTTTTTAGATGACATATCAAGCCTCTTGAAGCTTATTAAGAAAATGATTGAAATATAACTTGAACTGTTTTAAAACAGAATCATCAAGAAACATGTTACTCATTGGACCTGCTTACAATTTATAATTGAATGTAGTCTTTTTCAAACTCAAATGAGACATATTATTATTGCATGCATTTCGATGACTGAAAGAAAGATTTAATTTTATCTTTTTACGAAAAAAAAAAAACTTTTGTGTATAATTGAATTAAATTGTTACTCTTATTTGATTTTACAGTATAATAAATGGGCAGTACTATTATTTTTATATAAGTTTCAAGGAAAGTTTGTTCAATTTCATAAATTTAATGGTATTTATGTTAGTGATGTTTGTTGTCAGAATTTATAGAATTAGAGTTTATAATTAAATAAATTCATAAGACATTTTGCTTAAAAATAAGAGTAATAGTTTTAAAATAGACTTTTTTTTTTAAATTTCGAAAAACCTTGATCATTGACCACATCAGGGAGAATATTAAATTTCTATAAAAATTAATCATCAAATAATAAAATTGATTGTATTCTTAAATATATAGTCGTGAAAAGAAGTATGTCGTAAAACTCTGAAAGTAATTGCACAAAGAAAGCTATGTGCTTGCTTAAAACTTCATGTGTTACTTTGATAAGTACAAGCATTTTCAATTTAATTCTTATGATATTGTTTTACATGGAGTTAGTTTTTTTTTGAGTTTACAGCCCCAACTTCCAATTATGACAGCAAGTAATTTCTTATTTCTAGTTTGTTTCTTTTTTAACATAAGTTTCATTTTATAGTATTTCTTAAATTTTTATTTATTTTATTCAAAATATATGTAAGAAGTTTCGATGTGTTTAACCGCTAATTTTTGAACCATTTCAGTTGATCTGCAATTTGTGTTTTCTAAATCTTCAGTTCTTGCTTTTCCTGTTGAACTTTGTCCTGCTCCCAATAAAAAAAAAGAACAACATCCAAAGTATCTGTGTACCTACTGTGGTAAAAGATATCAATTTAAGAGTTATTTGGCAAAACACATAACTGTTCATACTGGAGAAAAACCTTTCAAGTGTGGTATTTGCTCCAAAGGTTTTAAAAGAAATGAAAATTTGCAGTACCATATTGCCACTTGTCATAATTATGTTATTTAAGTAAGAATCTTGTAAATTCTTTATATTATTATTATATTAGTTTAGTAAATAAAAAAATTGAACTGTAGGATAAATTTATGTACTGTGATTATTACTTAAAACAACTTCTATTATTTCCTGAATCTTTCATTTCAGTAGACTAATTGATTAGTTTGTACAATACTTAAAAAACTAAAATGTTTTATGGATTTATATTTTTATCTGTTGTCATAAAAACCCTTAATCAAGTACATATGTTTAGTTTTATTGCATAATACTATAACAAATATTTTTTTGAGAGGCATATATCTTTAGTCATTTTACATAAGAGGAAAATGCTCGGTTGAGTTATTTATGTTTACCAAAAAAAAAAGTAGCTATTTAATTTCTGATAAATATCCAGCAGATTTTTATAAAAATTATACATGCTCATGTGTTCAAAAAATGCCTTTAAAAAATATTTTGTCTTAGATAAGGGTTTTTAAATTGAATTTGAAATCATGTCATCTATAATAATAAAATGAAGAGTTTTTCTGTATGTGTGTCTCTCTTAGTATTTCGAAATTGTTGTGCTATAATCCTAAAATTTCGACTACAACTATTGGCAATTTTAGTTTTAAATACAAAAGATTCCAAAATTTTAATTAATCTGTTCAAAAGAGATGTTCCTCATGATGAAAAAATAAAAATTTTCTCTCAGGATTTAACATCACACATCGCCGCATGCAAATTACAAATGATATTGTTTTTTCGATTATTTAGATATAACAGTGATGTTTGTTACCTTACTGCTTAAAAAAGTTTCTTTTTTTTCATTCTTTATTACCCTTTTTTAAATAATTACTTATCTTCAATTTATTATGTCAGGTAAGTGCAAGTAGAATCAACATGCATGGCATGTCTAGACAAAGTAACTGAAATCTTATTCTAAAAGCTATCTGAAACCATGAATTTATTTTTATTTGCAGTTAGGATTTTGTAATGTGTATCTACTGACCTAAATGTTATAAAGTCAAAGGTAATTTAAATTATGAACTTAAGTTATGTACTGAGGTTATAATTCATCAACAGATTTTGCGAATCTCTTCTATTATATTGACAATAATATGAAGCCTCATTTTCAGTGCTAAATAATACTGAGTATGGTTAGTCTTCATCTTTTCATGCATTTACTTTGAAAAGCATGTTTTTCTTAATCTATAAAGTAGTGAAAGCAACCAATACTAACGATAAAAATTTTAAATTATGTTGATATATGTTTTTTAGTTTGACAATTTCAATAGGCACAATCGCAATATTTCCGTATTTTTAAATAAAAAAATTGTATTATTGAATTTCCAAAGATAATAAATAAGATAGCCTTAATTATGCCATGGTAACATGTTCTTTTTTTCTAATCAGTGATTAATTTTTAATATTTTTGTTTCAGGTCACTTAAACTATGATCTTTCCAACCTCCCTACAGATGTAGATGATTCATTTTTGAACTTGAGGTGTAAATACTGTCACCAAAAAACCCAAAGTAACTGGCATTTACAAAGACACATGCTGAAACACTTTAACGTTAAATCTTTTCAATGTCAAATCTGCTCTATGAAGTTCAAGCATAAGCACTCTGTTAGACGTCATATCGTAATGAAACATGGCAGCTGTGGCTAGCCCCAATATCATGCATGCGAATACCAAGCTTGTAGCCAGAATTTTATTCAAGAAAAGCACCCTCTCTTCTCATGTATGTCATCCTACTATGAATGGTGTTGACCGGTTGTATTATCTGTATTTTAATCGATAAATTTTTAGTTTAAATATGTTTATTTATTACACTAGAACTCAGATTTAAAGTCACTGTGAATAATGATTTTAACATCTTTTCAACTCAATCCCTTTTTATTTCATATATCAGTAATGCAAAAATATGTAGAACGTCATCTAAAATTTCCCTGAAATACTCACGTATATACGTCACCTGAAATACGTTCTGAGTCTTCTTTGAACCAACTGTTAAATGATAATTTAAGTAATTTGACAAGTGCAATAGCACAAAATGATCCTATTTTTAAATCAGTAAACAGCTGGCAAGAAATTGGACTTAAAAATTGCTCAAATAGAGCATTTTCCCACAGATTGTAAAAGTAAGCTGCATCTATGCGGTCTAAGAATAATCGATTCTTTTAAAGTTTCGTTTAGAAAGTAGCTTGTGAAAATGGTTCTGGCTGTGTGGCTTCTTGCACGTCTTCCAATGTTCGACAGAAAAGGAAAATTTTAAACTTGATATTGTTATCCTGGAAAAAAAGTTTTTAATGGTTTCAGAAAAGACAGTTTTACATCAGTTCCGACCGAGAAGAATACTGACTGCATTGCTGAACAGAATGCGAGCTTGATTCAAACTTTAATAAGCAATCAGAATGTGATAATGATCTGATGATTATCTATTTCAATAGCTGAAATTGTGGAATCTAGTAGTGATGAAGAAGAGTCTGAATCTTCTAGTCTATCACCATCATTTAACAAAGTAGCAGTTATGATGCCGAGCCTGAAAGTATTCTAAGGACATTGAGGAACAAGAAAGAGAAAAAGTTTTTCTTCTTTATTAAATAAATTACCTTTAAGTTCCAAATTTTATTTAGGTATTTAACAAAATATAGTTAAATTTGTTCGTGTTTAAATGTTATTTTTCATGGGAATTTTCATATCCCTGATAAAGTTGCATGCCATTATTTACAACTTTTTTGTCCAGTCTAACGAATGTTGTTAAATTGAGGTTCTTCTGTATATATCTTTTATGTTTGTTTATTAAAAAGACGTGCCATTTCATTGAGTCTGCAAATTTCCGTTTTTATTTGCTTGATTTCCATCATAAGACTTTAATCAATTTTAATATTTAAAAAAAAATTTATGTTAAACTGGGTGAGCAACTACAAATTGTACAAACGTGATCAAAGTATCTTAACTATTCTGACTAATTCGTTGTTAAGAATTCTTCAGAATCTTGAATTATATTAATAAACTCAATAAAATAAATTTTATTCTGACTAATTCGTTGTTAAGAATTCTTCAGAATCAGAAGATATTAATAAACTCAATAAAATAAATTTTCCTGTCATGAAATTATGTAGAGAAGAATTCGGTGTCTTTTACTATTTTAAAAAGATGAAATCAATTCTTGTATAATACAAATAGTTATTCTATATAGTGAACACATTAAAATCGTTTACAAATTAATTTTTAAAAAAATTATTTATTGCGTTTGAACTTTGTGATATGCTTGATTTAAAAACAAGTTTTAATTGATAAGTGTAATATACGATAATAATGTGTGAAGTGTTACATATTCAAAACAAGACATTTATTCCAATTGAGAATTCAAAAAGTAATGACATTTTTAAACGACTAATAGAAGAGTCGCATAACTGTAAATGAAACTACTGAATATATTTATAAAAACATTTTTAAAATAATTTACCTTTTATTCAGTGTAATAATTTTTTTAAATTGTAATCTTTATTATACATAGTTTTATTTGTAATTTGGAGATTATGTTTCTAAAGTTTTATATTAATGCACTAACTTCAGCTTTTTTTCTTTTTAATTTTATAAAACTGCTGTGTCATGTCTGATTAAATTTAATTTTTTTTCAAAAATCTAGGTTAGACTAAACTTCACTCTGGTCTCCTTAACTTATGGCCCAATGAATACTGTCTTACTCATTTATTACAAAACATTAATTTGAATCTTGGGTTTGATGAGGGAGTTTTTAATAAATTGTCAGTTTCACTTTAAATAGACATTAGAAAACCTGATTATTACAAATATTATTCTGATTTAGCAAGGAATATTTCTTATGCTTCTAGATAATTATTATATTAAAATTTGTCGTTTGGGAAAAAAAGACATTATTTGTCGTTTGGGAAAAAAAGACATTATTTGGTTCATTTTAGTTTCTTTAATAGATAAACAATAAACCAACAATAGTTTAAAGGTAGAGATAAAGAAAATAATGTCATCTCCCTTATGTGTCTTGCCGTGAATCACACAGTTGCAATATCTAATTAAAGATGTTGCTTTGTGAACCATTGGATATATTCTACACCTACTTGTGTCTCTATGCATGATTTGAGTTATATTTTCTAAAACACAGAATAAAACTCTGATGAAGAATAAACAATTCAACCACATTCATCCTTGATGTAAAATCATACAAGACCATACATAAAGTTTGCAAATTAAGCACTTTTCTTGAATCAGTGAACATAATATAAACATGATCTAAATTAATGTAAATAAAAATAGCCATATTTTAATATTTTCCATGTAATTTCTCACATTATACTATCATATCTACTGCTCAGTTCTCTGATATGAGCAAATTGTCACAGCTCCTATATACTTTTTATAAATGAGTTCAACTTAATTTTACTTATTGTACTTTTACAATTTTGTTCATCGACGCTGAACTAATCTGAAATGTTATAAAATTTATGTGAGAGACTATTAACAATATTTTGTTTGTCACCTTATAAGTAAATTATATGATGAAATTTTTTAGTTCCCTTTGCAATTTAAATTTTTTTTTTATCAAATTATTTTTTTCAACTTTAATAAGTCCATTTTAATGTAGTTATATTAAAACTCTAAATTAACAGTATATGATTTTCAGATTTTTTTTCTGCAAGTTTAAATAGTAATTTTTAAACTTAGGAAAGGGGCTGAAAAATATATACTCTGAATGGGTAGAATCTCAAAATCTGAATAGATATAATGGCATGCTGCATTTTTTGGTTTACTATGGTTTCTAGTAAAAATCTGATCTATTATTATTATTTGAATAGTATTTTTCAGTTAATGTTTACTAAATGTCTTTTAGATTTCACATTTTTTGAATAATTCATGTGTCATAATTTTTTTAAAAACATATCCTAAAGAATTTTTATGGTTTACTATGGTTTCTAGTAAAAATCTGATCTATTATTATTATTTAAATAGTATTTTTCAGTTAATGTTTACTAAATGTCTTTTAGATTTCAAATTTTTTGAATTATTCATGTGTCATAATTTTTTTTAAAACATATCCTGAAGAATTTTTATGGTTTACTATGGTTTCTAGTAAAAATCTGATCTATTATTATTATTTAAATAGTATTTTTCAGTTATTAATGTTTACTAAATGTCTTTTAGATTTCACATTTTTTGAATAATTCATGTGTCATAATTTTTTTAAAAACATATCCTAAAGAATTTTGATTGATATTTATTCAAAAGTAAATGAATGGTTTTTCTTTAACTATCCCAAAAATATTCTAATATTTTACTTTATGTAATATTCAGAAAAAAATCTAAGCTTACTTTAAAATAATGTGTTCTCTTACTTTCAAAGCTCATATAACATTTGAAGGCTCTTTGGAATAAAAGCTCTTAAAAGACAAAATTCTATGTAATATTACAATTAATTTAAAATATGTAGAAACTAATAAGAACCTTTTAGCTTAAATTCAAGATGGTGCTGATGGAAAGTTCTTAAAGGTAATAATTGTGTTTTGTAGTTTTAATACTGAATATTTATTAAGACACCAAATACGGAAAAATACAACAATATATTTTTAAAAAAAATAGCGTTCTTTCATCAATTAGTTAAAGGGAGTGAGACAAAAATTATAATTAGGAGAATAAGTGGAAGGGAAATTAAAGAGAAAGGAAAGGACAAGATATGAATAAAAAACAACAAAAACTGTGGGGAGGGGGAAAAAATATGAAAAAGAAAGCACAAGTTAAAAATGAAATTAACTTTTTCTCCTTCTCATTTTCTTTTTGTTTCTGCTATTTCTTCTTTTTTTTCCCTCTTTCTCTTTTTTTGCCCTATCATTGTTTTTGGTTTGTCTCTCATCTTTTCTTGTTCCCTGTGTTTGTTAAGTTATTCATTTTCCTACTGTCCATTTTTAACTACCTGATGGCAGAAAGTTCATTCTTTTCAAAATGTCTGTAAATAGTGTCTTAAGCTTGATAAATATTTAAGTATTTTGTATTCTTTCATTATACTGTTTGAAAACTACCTTTTTTAATTTATTCTAAAATAATTTTCACGAAATATGTCATTTTTTCTTTTAGGATTCTCATATTTTGAAACCATTTCTCAAAACAACGATTTGAAAAAATTCCACTGTGATGTGTGCACTTACTCCTCAAATGACCACTCTAATTATAAAAGACATCGATTGGTCCATACTCAAGAAAGACCTCATACTTGTCCTATTTGCAAGAAATCCTTCAATCATAAGTTTAACTTGAAGAATCATCTTATTACTCATTCAATACTTTAAACTCCTAAATTCTATACTTTTTCTGTTTCTTTTTTTTTATGTTTATATTTGCTTAAGTTAAACTTGAAGAATAATCCTATTACTCATTTAATATTTTAAATATCTAACTTCTATACTTTTCCTATTTCTTTTGTTTGATTTTTGTGCTCAAAATATTGTAACTATGCAAAAATATACAAGTTTAACTTGAATAGTCATTTTATTAATCATTCTATATGATTAACTCCTGAGTTCTTTGCTTTTTCTGTTTCTTTTGTTTTATGTTTACACTTGAGTTAAACTTGAAGAATCATTTCATTCAATGTTTTAAACTTCTTATTTATATGTTTTTCTTGTTTCTATTGTTTTATGTTTGATTGTTGTGCTGAAAATATTGTTAATCTGTATAAATATACAAGTGTAACTTAAATAGCCATTTTATTAATCACTCAATAACTTCTAAGTTCAATGCTTTTTCTGTTTCTTTAGTTTTATGTTTGTGCTTCAGTTAAATTTGAAGAATCCTCTTAATACTCATTCAATTTTTAAACTATTCTAAATTCTATTTTTTTCCTATTTCTTTTGTTATATGTTTGATTATTGTGCATAAAATATTGTAAATATGTATAAATATACAAGTTTAACTTAAATAAATAGACATCTTATTATTTATTCAGTATAATGAACTCCTAAATTCTATGCTTTTCTATATTTTTCGTCTTCTTGTAAAATAATAAAATGAAAATAATTTCTATTTTAAGATCTAAAAGAGGAAACACATAAAAGAATATTTTAAGAAAGAAGATTAAAAGATATTCCTTAAAGAATAATAATTAATATTAGGATAATAAATTATATATATGTTAATTGTTTCAACTAGTAAATTTATATTCTTTAATCTATTTATCAGGGCTGATTGTGCTCCGGAAAAAATCTGGATTTCCGGGATTTTCGTTAACTGTGATCCGGAAGTTTCCGGAGATCGAAGGTTCAAGCATTTCAAAAAGTCATTGATCACAAAAGTTTCTGGAAATCAAATTTTCAAAGGTGGAACTTTAAAACACAGTTTATTTTATTTGTTTTTTAAGGGAGAGCTAGATACTTTATAAGCTTATATTCAAAATTAATATTCATTTTTTATCAGTAAATAGTTATAATAATAAACTAAAGAAAGAAATACGTATTTGTAAATTTCAATTACTTCTCCAGGTCTTTCATAGGTATGTAAAAAATTTTAAATATATTTTAAGTAAACTAAGAAATATTGAGAAAAAGGAAAAAACCTTGTTTAAATTTTTTTCTAATTATTCGATTTAAACTTTTTTTTTTTTTACTTAAGAAATTTTCCGGAATTTTGACTTGTGCTCACAATCACCCCTGATTTATTGATTAAAAAAATTTACCCAGATTCAGTTCTGAATATGCTAATATACTTAAAAAAATCATTTATCACATTTCCTAATTTCAAAACTCTTTTCTTAAAATAAATGTTGTAATTTTTTTCCTCTTTGAAAAAATTAGCTTATAAATGTGCTTAGAAAATGCTTAATGTCTAAAACTATTCTTTTGAAGCATTTCTAATTGGAAATTTTGATAACACAAATAAAGTTTTATAAATTAGTATTGTATTGTCGATAAATTTTCTAAAAGAAATGTTTCTATGTAACTTCCGCAACAAAACCGCTAAAAAATTACATTTGATATTTTATTATTTCGTTGTACTTTTCTATCTTTAAAATACTCTGCTGTAATTGCAAATAATTTTCTTTTTTGGTTTGTTTATTTTTTAGGTATAACTCATAGCAAGTTTACTAGATTATGTAGATCTGTTTATGTTTGGTGCAGTTTAACCTATTTCAAATAAGACATTAAACTTAATTGTGATATTTGTTTAGTATTTATCATTATGTATACTTATTTTTCTACTGTATTTGAGAAAAAAAATTAAGGACTGTTATTTATTTAATTTTACGTAAAAATTATGTAAATTTTCATTGTTAAAAATTCACATCTCGGAAAATACACAAATTTTTTATGATCAGTGATTTTGCTTAAACGCTATAACATGTCAAGTGAGAAAAATAAGTTATTACATACCCTCTGGTACCTATAATTCTCCAGCTGGAAAAAAAATAGTATGCGGACTAAATTACAACCAAACTTTAGGTAATACAATAAAATAAAATTTTTTTTCTTCTTCTTTATCAATAGTTAAAAAATTATAATAATTCTGAGTATCATATTACATCTTTATTTTTCTTGATGCAAGTGCTTGATCAGTCCTAATTAAAAGCCTCGATTGTTCAACTATAACTCTTTTCTTGCTTTAAAATTCTTTTTGTTTCTCAATAGATAGAATAATTATGAATTTGCATATTAATAGGGTGAATAATTCACATTTGAATTAGGTACTTGTTTCAGTAAAAAGATAATCTAGAAATCCCGAAGTCTTGGGCTCTTCAGACCGGTATAACCATTTTTGAAATGCTGATTCTCCTAATTTTAACTTTTTTTATTTGTCTTTCTTGTCTTAGTCAAGAACTTGAAAGAAACTGAGCTACAATGTTTAAGAAACGAAATTTTACCATATCTAACTGGTTGACACTAAAGTTATTTACCAGGATTTTTTTTCTGGAAATGTTTTTTTGTCAATTGAAAATGACACTGTGAACTATTTTAACTGATGAAGTAATATTTTGAACCTCTGTTAGCTGTTAAAGAAACAGCAATTATAATTTGTAAATTTTTTACAGTATGTTTAAAGCCTTTTCTAATGACTGAAAGATTTTAAATTAATAAACTAGGTATAAAGAAAGTTGTCTTTGACATTCTATGACAGTTTCCTTAAATTACTGTTGATTAATAGTGTTTTCTGACTAAATTGACTTATATTAGTTGTGAATTAATTTTTCATCTAAGATACTGTCAAAAATATATTTATTTAATTTTTTTTATTTGTTTTTTAAAGTCTTAAATATTTTAATAAATAAATTAACAATTATTAATTTTTCTTTGATAAAACAAACCATATTTTTCAGCTGCTCTAGGAATGTTTATTGGTAAGTTCTTTTTGTTAAACCATTTTAAAATTTAAAAAAAATCTTAGTAAGAATTTTTAATAATCATCACAGGTAAAGGTATTGTAGAGCCGCAAGTGTTTGAAATTTTAAAATAAATTTATTTTATCTCTAGGAGTATAAAACAATATTTGTTATTAATTTTTATTTGCAAATATTAAGCTAATTATTAGTGTATATTTAAAGAATTGTAAGAAATTATTTAAAAATTGATCCTTAATTTTTTTCTTTTTTTTAACAGTTACAATGACTATTGAGTTATTCAAAATTTGAATATTATTGAGTTGAAGTTAAATTAATGTCAGCCTCAACTACTTATAAAATAATTTGAGAAAATTGATTAGTAACATTGTCATGAATATCATTTATTTTATTTAATTTAAACAAATTTTTTACAATTGTAATGGCCAGAAGTTAAAGGTTAAATTAGGCATCCATTAAAAATGTTAGCAAATAATATGAATAATAAAACCAAATGTTAAAGAACGGCGTCATATAATTGGATTTAAAGAAAGACTTAGATAGAGAGAAATAGTCAAAGAGAACAAGAAAGAGACAGAGTTCCTAACTAGAAGAAAAGGGTGACAAGTTTTGTAGATTTGCAATAAGTTTAGATTCTAAGTTAATCACTGTTTTGTTCATCTTTTGCTGACTTTATAACTTCAGGTGACATTTCCTTGGTTATTATTTGTTTGAAGACTTAGATTTTAATAGTTAAAATGAAAAGTGATAAATAGTATGGGCAAACCAAATTATTTATGCTCATTTATTTTTGATACCAAAAATTGATGGATGCTGAAATTCATAAAAGATATTTGTTAACAGTTGAAAGAGAAGAGAAAGATTTGAGTCTGATACCAGAAATTAAAGGTCGTTGAAGCTTAAAGAAGAAACTTGTTAGCAGTAGAAGGAGGGGAGAAAGGCTAAGTGGAGTTGTTTTGATTGAATCCTCTTTTTAGTCTTTTTCTTTTCTACTTCTACTGTACCTTCTTAAAAAATGTTACTTCTCTGAGTAACATATAGATGAAAAAATTCTATAACAAGGCATTCAAAATAAAATTGGAAACTTAACATGAGGCTATATTTGTAGAATCTAAAGAAGAAAAAAGTTTGCGATTGTGATGGTGTTGATGACTTTATCATCAGCATTGGCACGACAGCCCTTTGTGAGCCTGGATCTTCCTCAGAAGCTTTTCCCATTCTGTCCTCCCAGCAATTGATTTCCAGTTCCTTACTTTTAGGATGGCAAAATCCTCATCCACACAGCCTTTCCATCTCTTTTTGGGCCTTCCTCTTGGTTTTTATTGGAGGGAGTTGTATCCTGGCCAAATTCCGTGAAGACAGTCCGGCATTTACTTCTTTGGATTTTAAAACGGGTTGATATTTATGGGGTGGGGTTGTTAGCCCAACCCCCAACCTGGAGGACCAGTCCCCTGACATAATCCCCAGGGGCAGGGTACCCGGCTATACCCGTTGATGAATTTAACATATTTTTATTTATGATAGTCATTTGTAAATAAATTGTGTCAAATTATTATGTTTGTGTTTAAAAATTGTTATGTCTGTTTATCATAATGAATTAAAATTTGTGCTAATAATTAATTGATATCAGCAATTCAGTTTTATATGTGAATATTTCTGTATACTGTGAATATTTGGTATTTCTTTCCAAAAATTCACAAAAGATAAAAATTAGTAAAATAAGAAATTTTTATGTCTCAAAAATTTTGTTACTAGAAAGATAATTAATTATAATTCTGAATTGAGAATGAAAATACGTTAATTTTTGTGGGAAATAAAATTTGATACAGTAATTTTTTGTTACTCAGATCAAATATGATCTGTTGCATCTAGGGGTGTGAATTGAAGTATAAAAAACTCTTGCTTGAAATAAACTTTTTTTAAAATAAAAATAGATAAAAATTATTGCTCAAATATGTTATGAAAGTGTGATATATTATTTGCATGTTTATTGCTGCTATTATATTTTTAATGAATATCATATACACTCCTGAATAAGCTAAAACTTTATTTAAAACCTAAAATGAAATTGTAATATCTCAAGAGTTCTTTATTTTTGTAGAAATATTATCTGAAAGTATGTAGATGAGAAATATATGAAACAAGTGAACTTTGGGAAGATAGGGAGAAAAGATGTCTAAAATAATGTAACTGCAAATAAGGCCAAAATTTTTATTTAGACATTTGTTTCATCAAAATTACAGACAAGAATGAGAAAAATTTCTAAAAAGTGTATTTAATAATACCATGTTGTGTGTTAAATGTATTTAAGCATTATTTCAACTGCTTACCTAATTCATATATTATTAAGTTTTGGAAACAACAGGAATTGAGTGCAAAGAATCTAATCCTAGAGATAAATTCAAATAGAAGAAATATGGAGAATATTAAAACATAAAAAGGGGTAAAGAAAAAATGATTAAGTCCATGCTTATAATGCAAATTGGTCAAAAACATTACTGTCAAGATTACAGAGTTTATGTGTCATGGCAATAAGTTCCTGGGAATTCCTAACGTTTCTTCGTCTTGCACCATAGTTTTCGTTTCATTAACGAGATTCACTAATTTCTTGGTAATCTGACTAGTCTTTCCATTTGTGAAATCTTTCTTTATCCTTAAGCCATAACCAGAGAAGTTGGCTGGATGATCAAAATGGCAATTAAGCAGGAATAGTAGAGTTCTTAGTTCAGAGAACGTAAAATGCAATCTTATTTCAGACATCTGAGATCTTTAGATTGAATTTATTTTTATTCTAATGACTTAGAACCCTATGAGGAAATATGCTGATGCTATTTGAATCAATTTTTTTATTCAGCTTTCTATTTTGTTTTTGAAAACAACACATTGGAACTTAAATTCCAGTTTTTTTTCGTCCATCATATTTAATAATTCTAGCTTTTTTTTTCATGTCATTCAATAAAGTAGAACTAAGTAATGGAAAATTGACATAAGTCTTTATACTTAAGGGTTGATCGAATCTGTTTGTTTCTATCAGATTGTTATTTTTAATTCATTCATCTCATCACTTATAAATGCTTAGCTTTACGAGAGTTTATATGATGTTCCTGTTTCGTAAAAAAAATTTTTTTAAATAGTTTTTCTTTTCCAGGATTGTTATTGATAAATAAGGAAATTAGAATTCAGTTTATTTAAAGACAAAAGCTAGTAGAATACGGCAACAACTACAACCGTGAAATGGAGAGCATTAAAAATAAACGAGTTGGTTCTAATTTTGCTGAAGTAAAAAAGGAAGTAGATGTCAGCATAACTGAAGCAAGACAAGAAGTTAATACCAAAGTTGCAGAGATAAATGGAAAGATGGATATGAGCTTAGTAAAAATTAAAACAGAACCCGACTGTGATATTGCACCTGCAACAGTTCATTTAACGCACCAGGAAGTTAAGTCAGTTGATACCATGTTGACTGCAATCAAAGAAGAAATCGATAGTGACACTGATACTAGTGACAATAATAATGTAACTGTTCATCTTCTAATTCCAGAAACCATTTTGGATTTAAAAACAGAAGATGATGTACAAACAAGCAGCGAAGAAAACTTACTTGCAGAGTCGGCAGATTCTGATGTGTCGTTGACACTATCTCAGTTAACTGAAACAAGAGAAGATAGTATCCATTCCAATGCCAGTTCTGATATAATACCTGAAAATATGTCTGCACAAAGTGTTCCCATTAGAAAGACGAAAAGACAGCGTGGGAAACCGGGAAATGATTCAGAATTTTGTGACCTGGAAAGCCTTGCACCACCATCTTCAACAAATGAGAAAGAACCTGCGAAGAAACGCAGGACAAGAAATACAGGTTCATTGAATGCAAAAACAAATATTGCTGTTTCAGATGATAATATTGACCCTGAAAGTCCTACCCCACATTCTTCAACTGAATTGAGTGAAATAGTTATAGGATCTGAACAATCCAACAAAAGAGAAGTGAAGGGATCTAAATACAAAAATAGGAAAGAGAAAGAGATGGTTGTTTGTCCATTTTGCGACAGGAAAATGGTTAAACATTATTTTCCGTACCATGCTCGTGTGCACACTGATGAAAGACCTTTCAAATGTCCAAAATGCACTTATGAAAGTCGGTTTAAAGGACCACTAAATTTCCATATGGAATCTCATCATCCAACAGAAGGTTATTTAACCCCAAAATAGTGAAATGAATTTATTATAACAGCTAATTGGAAGAATTAATGCATTACATGAATTTCTTTTTTGAAGTTTGCCATTGAGATAATATTTGTCATTATTTCGCAGTATGTTATTTACATATAACCTGCTTAAATTAAATAATTATTTTTCCCGTCACATTTGTTTAAAAACCCTTTTGTGTTGTTAGTTTTCACATTAATTCTTTACCCAATTGAAGTCAAAAAGTTACTAGAAAATTACGGTCATGTCATTAACTGTCAAAGAAAAGTATGGTCAAGACATTGATGGTGGGGTCAATTAAATTCGAAAAGGGATTTTGTTCTGGAATTGTAAAAAGGAAAATTTTTTTGTTTCTGATACGAATAACATTTTCTATTTCACTCAGTTTTGACTTAAACTCAACTCAAGGTACTTTAATCCCAAAACAGTAAAATGAATTTATTGTGGATACCAAACTAATTTGGAACTGTTGAAATGTGTTATTTTAAATGCTTTTAAAAACAAATGTATTTGCTGAATATTTGCGATTGTTTTGCAATATGTTACATCTATATTACATCCTGCTTAAATTGAACAATTATTTTGCATGTTGTATTTTTCTGTTGTTAGTTTGAAAAATAATACATATAGTTTGTCAGTTAATGATTTATACACTATTAAAAAAAAAACTTTTTATTTTGAATTATAGAATATATATAACTTCTTTCTTTTTCAAAAGAGTAAAATTTGTAAAGATTACTAATTTGTGGTTGTTGAACTGTTTCAGATAATTTTTGAATAATAAACATAGCGTAATTAGTTAAATTTTAATTTTCTTCATTGGCATCTTGTATTGATGATAAAAATATAATCTATTAAATCTGAATTCTATGTTTAATGTCAAAATTACATTTTTGAGCAGTATCTTGAATGAAAATGAAAATTTTTTTTACAGGCATTTATACACTTGTAAAATGTTGTTGACTCAAGAAAAAAGTAAAATTTTATCCCACGAAATCTATTTAGGCTTGATTTAACACTATTATCAAATTGTCTAACTGAAACTTGAAATTTGCCATATATTTGGTTATTGCCATTACACTTATTATTCTGCAGCAAATCATTGAATTGCAAAATTAAAATATTTATTCAGAATTATAAGAATTAATGCAATATTTATTACATTGTAAGCTTTTGGTTATTGTTTAGTTGTTGAATATTTATCACGAGTATATCCAGAAATTATTAAACTATTTTTGTTGATGTTAAATATTAGCTCTAAACTTTTGTTTACTATTACATATCATGTTATGTGTTGAATTTGAATGATTATTAATTGTTATCCTTTAATATTAATTTGTGTTTAAAACTACCATAAGCCCAAAAATATGCAAAAGCCAAAAGTAAACCATGTTTAATTTAACCCCCAGAATAAAATGGTTTTTATTACAATAAACTATGCATTTCAAAATGCTTTGTTAACATTATTTCAATATTTAAATTTTATTTCAAATTATGAGATAAATTTAATTCTCTTAAAATTCGATTCTCTCAATTGCAAAATGCAAATTTAGTATTTATAATTATTTTTTTTGAGAATTCAATAAATTTTTTTATTTTTTCTAGTGAAAGGTTGGTTTAAATAAATCTAGAATTAACGTTTATTTTGGTGTGTTCTAAAATACACCGAAAATTATCTTTTTTCAAATTATAATATACATTAATTTTGGTTGTTTTGCAAGCCAAAATTTTCTATAAATTGAATCTTAGTGCTATTTTAAATAATTCAACATCTGGAAAAAATACCTCCTAACTGAAAAAAATCAGATTTTCTGAAAGATGTAATGAGGAAATACTGAGGTACTGCCCTGCCAAAATTGCTGAACATTTAATCAATTGATACATCTAGATCAGTTCAAAATTTATGTATATGTATTCTCAACAGGAAGTCGTCAAACATATATTTATAGTGTTTTTATTACTGAGCCTATAAATTCAGTTTGATTGCTTGTAAATTGTGTTATTAATGTGAATGAAATTTTCTTTTTTATGGTATTCAATTTATCTTTTATATTTTAATATAATCATCTTATAAATATTGTTTCCTTTTTGCATGTCAAGTTTTTGTTTGTTTGCTCATTTATTGCTTACTATTTTATTAATTTGTGAGAAGAAAAATCTTGCTTGTAATTTTGTTTTTAATAAAATTCTTAGAAAATGCCATATGAGACTAAAAGTATGTCTCTGGTTCAGATACCAAAATTATTGGTACATTTGATGCTGTATTATCAAAATCATTCTTCCAAATTGTAATATTTTAATGCAAAAAAACTGTTTTTAATGTTGTTATAAATAAATATTTCAATTAACAAATGAACTAGATATTTTTTGCAATAAATATACAATATGACCTTACATAATGATCTAAGCTGAACTCAGCGGCACACCAGCTCATGGAAAGCTAAAGCCTGCAGTGCCCATCTTTGACCTTGGGATCTGGGATAGAGGAGCAGATGTCCCGGTTGGATGATCAACTGAACGTGTAACCTCTAGTGTTTAGTATGCAAGCTGCTACTAAACACAAGCTATTACTTTAGTTCTCCAAGCAGGTTTTCTTGACCCACTGAAGATATGAAAGGCTGAGTCGACTTTGCCGAGTCTGAAGATAGAACCCTCGACCTGTGGCATGAAACACGAACGGTCATTCCACTCGGCTTCCTTACATAATGAAACCTTTTAAAATTAGTTCACAGGGTGCATAGAGTTTTTAAAAAGTGCTTAATTTTGATTTTTTATAAACGCTTAAAGGCATTTTTTTCCATGGGTTACATTGATTGCCCCCATTGTTTTGGGTTTTTGCAAAAAGCGCTTAATTTTATTTCTCAAAAAATAAGATTTTTTCTTAGTCATGCTGGTTGCCATCATGAATTGCACAAAAAGCGTGGTTTTCACAGTGTTCAGTTCAACATTTTCACTATTCATTCAACCGCAATCCATTTCGGTTTACCGTCATAGTTCGTATGGTACAAAAGTGCTAATAATTTTATATATCAGATTAATTCTTTGCAGATCCGCATGCGTGTAACTGAACTGGATTCATTGTAATCACACGTGCAACTCTACTGCATATTGCGAGGAAATTTATAATTTGAGGCTTAACTTGATCTGAAAATCTCCGAAATTTTTGTTGATCATGGAGTTTAATTAAACATCACCAAAAAATATCCCCTGGCATATGAAAATTATATATTTCTTTAAGCACTATATACATAAACAAAATGCAAAATAATTTTCAAAGACTTTACAAAAGGCAACACTTTATTGATATCAAAATACTAATTAAAGTTAAAAGGACAGAAAAAAACATTTAGCACACTTTAGTGCTGTTTAAATGATTGACAAATAAAATTCCTTAATTATAAATTAAGGAATGTTTACTACTCTTTAAAAAAACATATATATACAAACATGGCATGTTAATGAATATAAAAAACTGCACACTTATTAAAATGTTAAAATAATGCAGTTCCAAAAAAATTTTAGAACTATTTTTCACTCATTTTAGTAGTTTAAAAAGGATATACAGAACATCACTATGCATCATTCTACATACAGTTTTAATAGACACTCTTCAAACTTAACTCATTAATTTAGACTGAGAAATATACTAAGTAGTTAAAAAATATAAGAATAAATAGTGTTATAAAACATCAAATGAAAATGTCCTTGAAAATAATCCTTAATTGTAATATTTGTTGGTGCGATGTCATATTGACTCAGTAAAAACTCGTTTATAATCAATTTTTAAGGCATTAAAAGTATAAATATCCAAGAACAAAGGTTTCATATTTGCAAATGAAAGAGGATTACTTGATAAGTATTATATTTTAATAATGCTAAATACTTTGTATAATCATCAGTATAAATTTATCATATTTGTATAAATTCTGATTTTGCCTAAATTTATATATGCATGCTATATAGATTTTCTTGATGCAATAACCTATTATAAAAATTCACACAGAAAATAATTAAAATTATTATGTAATTCTGTTGTTTCTATTTTAAATGTTTTAGCTAAGTCCTAAAATTAATAATAGGGAAAGTATTAAATATTGGCCCTACATATATGTTTCATGAATTCTTCAAAATATTAACTTCCAAAGAATGAAATTATTTAAGGATTGGATAAGTGTAGTAAAAAATAGTTTGGGAAATAAGCGTAATATTTATACATTCACAGAAAATTAGAATATATATATATAAATAAAATTTTTCTATAGCAATAAAAAATATCTTCATGCACATTGCCTAAAAACTACATTTCTAGATTCAAATAATGATCAGTAAATTATTAAAATTAATAATTTTCTCCGAATAAATTTAAAATTCAAATAGAAAATTTTCACAAGGCATGGAATAAAAATCAAAATAATTCTCTGAACCTAACACTACAAGGCACATTATGATTGTCGCAAACTAAGTAAAAGAGAGATAATAATGAATTCCTCAATGTATAACCTCAAAATTGTTTACAGCATATCCTATATATATTTATTTAAGGTAATATTGAATTTTTCCTAGAAGCGATAAAAAACACATTGAAACTAGGATTTTTAATGAATACACATCTGACCACAAAGTGCTAAAGCATTAATCTCAAAATGTTTTAAACTAAAATTAAGTAATAAACAAGGTGCTAATAATTAACAGTACTCCTGAAGCCCCCAAAAAAATTTTTATTATTATTTTTATGGTATTCCAAATAATCTGATATCTTTCAAATTGAATGTGATATCAAATCATTTGCATTATATATAAGTATAGAAAAGACCTCTCACTTGAATTAGGAAAATAAAAACTTATGAATGAGTTGAGAATGTGTATACAAGGAATTATATGTGTATCAAATATATTTAGAATTAATACATGTATCAAATATCGATAAAATTAGGTAGCATGATACAAAGAGTATGTTTTATGTATTTGTACCAAAAAATAACAATTTGAACACAGAAAATCACTTTCTATCTCACTCATTTTAACAATATAAAGATAGAGAAACTTTTCACAAAAAATAGCAACTCATTAAAAATTTGCTATAAAAATTTCTTAGCTACACAGGTTTTATAATTTTTTTTTTGTGATTTTTAAAACATTTCATTATGTATAGAATAAATAATAAATGGGAAATATTGAATAATACAGATAAAAGATGCTGAGATCAATCAAGAGCTTTTTTTAACGTTAAGAGTAACTCATTCCTATATATACAAGGGAAAGCAGGATTTAAATAATTTCTTTGTCAAAGTTTAATCATGCAAGAATAGGCTTCAGTCAGATCTAGCCTGTCATCTTAATCAAAGCCGTCTGTACAATATAAAAATTATTCTTGTTTTAATAATAAAATAGTAATCAACAAACATATAAAACTATTTACAATCTAACATATAGCACAGATAATAAAACATTACTCTACATCACTCTAAAATATAGCTGCTTTCTCACTCTTTATGGCTTTAAAAGTTCAAATAATTACACAAGTTTTGGAAGACTGAAACAAATAAAAAATGACATGTAATTAATTTAATATATGTAGTTGAATTTAATTATAGCATAACAAGCACATATTTTTCTATTATTTAACTAAAATGCATGTTTATAAAAAGTAAAAAATAATTTGCTTCTTGCAATCAAACATTTTTTTGAGGGAAATACATTTTTCTGCTGTTTAAGTCAGTAATATTGTACAAAAAGGGCAAAATTTTCAGATGTTTCTATATAGTTTTGGTAGCAATACAAAAAAGTGATATTCCTATATATATACAAAATAGATAAAGGGAAAAATGAAGAAAATTAATAAGTTTTATTATGAGTTAACTTACAAACTCTACTCACTTTTTCTCATTTTACTATTTCAAATCTGGTTTCTAAACTATAAACCCACCAGAAGTAGATGTGGCTAATTAGACTCAGCTCTGCACTTATTTTAAAGAGCAGAAGGACTAACACTATTGGTTGCCCGTGAATCTAAAACGTTTAGTTTTAACCTATTTCAGGTGACATCATTTAAAATGGTAAATTGTCACTCCAAAGAAAACTCGTTAGCTTTTAAGCCAGCTAGTAACTGATACATAATATAAAACACCACAAAAACATTGCCCTACATACTTTACGTCTAGGGTGTTTCTGTTTTCAGGGCTACACACCTGATCCCACCATGACCAAGCACAAAGATTTTTATTTTCAGAATTCTATATTTTTTTCGCCAAGGAAGGTTTGCCACGTAATTTTAACCTCGGACAGACAACGTCCACGGCTGAGCTGATACTCCTCTCTCCAAATTTCTACAACTCAACTAATGAGAGGAGTTCGAACCATGGTATATTTATTACGAGTATACACACCAGTTGTTTAGTCAGCTGCCAGGATCAACTCACTACCCCAACTTTCTACTAACAGAGTGAGTAATTTCATCATTTAAAAATAGTTTGATTTTATTCTGTCTATATAAATCTGCTTGCACAGAACTTTTTTTTTACATTTCTTAATGGAAAATTATATGTTTCAAAGGACTTGTATAACTTTTTGCATACCACATTTTTTCCTTCCACAATTCTTGGCACTTTTGATGTACTTATAGCGAGAAAACGGAATCACTGTTCACATAATACTTAGATGGATACTAACTAAAAACATAAATGCAACAAAATAAATGTTTTTACCTTTTCTTCTTTAAGGCCTTCTAAACTTGTTGATTTACTTTCATTATCATAAAAGTGACTCTTCACCTGTAAGTGCTGTTTATATATATGTACAAAATATATATATAACATACTACACAAAAAGTAAACTATATAAAAAGTAAAACAGTAACAAAAATTTCCAAAACTTTTTTTGTGAATTATGATAATAAATCTCTTTTCGAGGATGAAGTTAAAGTAAGGAATATATTATAATTAGGAATAAGAAACAAATTGACGAATTGAAGTCAGTAGATACTAGTATTTTATTTTATAGTAAAGCCCATTGTTAATAAAGTAAATAAAGCAAAAAATTTATTTTAGTAAATCCATAATAATTCGAAAGCTAAAGAAACATTAATATCATAAACACGCTTAAACTGATGTTGATTTTTTACCTTTATAAATGACTCAATGAATAAAAATCTAGCAAAACGGTGAAAATTTCTTTTTTTTTTCACTTTAGTATTTTGCTATAATGTTATTGTAACAGAAAACCTGTCCTTTATATAGCACAATATTTTGAGAATACAACTTTCACAAACTCCTACGAAATTCAAGAAAGAATGTTATTTTCAAAACATTCCAATAGGTATATCTCAATTTTATTTTTAATAAAACTTGTTTTAAAATTTTATAATTTAAGTATTCACGATGCTTCCTAGTATAAAAACTTTATGATAGTAAAATTTTTTTTAATCTAGTCATAAAAAATTTTAAAAAAAGAAAAGGATTGATATACAAAAGTTCATTTTAATTGCAAATTAAACGTTTAATTTCAAATAAGTGCACAGTTAATTTTCAACATAAATGCTCATTTGTTTTCATATGGTATTTTTCAGACAATCAAAAGTATAGTTTGTCTTAAGTAAGAACTCCCCATGCCATTCGTCTGAACCCGTGGAGGTGACCATGGTAACGAGGTATAACTATTTAAAATAGGGGTGTGGGGTCATATTTTAGGACAGGTTTTGGCTCAAGTCAGCGCCAGAAAGGGAATCTTTTTCTTCGGTCTGTTGTGTTAGCCCTAGAGTGAAGAGAAGCTACCCTTTCTGAAATGCACCATTCTTATTTGCATGGCAGCAGACTTTGTGACAGTGGGAGTTCTTACCGTAGACAAACTATACTATTAAGTTAATTTACTTTAAGTTATTTTAATAAATTGTCCGAATAAACACACTAACAACATTTTACACTGAGCAACAAAAGGCTACTTTATTCACTGCAATACTCATTTTTGCCTAATCTATCTAAAGTGCAAAACCTTTGATGAGCAAACATTTTAAAATTTTTTGCATCAATCTAAACACTTTTTTCTTAAAAAATAAATAAAAATACTCCTGCCAAAGATTTTTCAAAAATTTATTAAACAGAAGTCAATTAATTCAACCAGAAACAGAAATTCATCAAATGAAACTTTAAAACTTTTTACTTACTTCAGAAGACGGTACTTTCGTTAAAGGTACAACATTTGTTGAATCTAAAATAGGAAATAAAAGCTTATTTAAATATACAATGTATCTATAAAAAGAATTTTGAATTGAATTTGTGTAAGAATGTTTTTTATAGATATAGAAAAATGACTTTTTTTACACAAAACTTGACTGTAATGGCTTTAAGAAGAAAAACTTACCTGGAATATTTTCTTTTTCTGAATGGGGTTGTACAGCAATGTCATCAATGTAAGTTATAAAACTAGAATTCTGTAAATAAAAATATTCCAAGTATATTTTCTTTAAAATTATAAGTCGTAAAATATTGATTAAATGTGCAGGGCTCACTACTCTCACCTTGGCGAGTTAGGGTGCTCAGACAAAAGCAATCCTGTGATAAAATATTGTCCGTCAATTGTAGAACTGGCACTTACCTTTTCGACTACTTCGCTAGCTAGCTCAGTCACAGGACAACCAATAATGTTTACGTTTGTTGATGTCATACTAATGTTATATTTGTTAAAATTTTACTAAGGTTATGAATAAAGTATTCAATGAGAAATTAGAATTTCAGTTGGAATTCTGTGTTAATAACTTTGAAATAAAAAGTGTCTCATGGTTCAATGCAGTAACCTGTATAAATTACTGTTATGGAGGACAGGCAGATCATTTATAAACAGTCAGTAAGAGAAATGTTTTTTTTTCAATGCTCAATCTAGTACAACAACCGAAGGAGATTTCCCGATCTTTTTGAGCTACTCAAAAAGCACAGAAAACCTACTCTGGAGGCCCTCCTATTATTCCTAACTACAGAGTTAGCAAACGAAATTAAGAAAAACAGTGGGAGAATAAAATTATTCCACACTCATCACCTACTTAGTTTTATGATAAGTGGTTCCCTATCATATTTCCCTTCCCAGGGGACAAATAGAGCCCCTCAGTAGATCTTGATGTCTTCTTATCAAGCCCAGGTGAAAAGGTTAAAAAAAGTTACATTTTCAAATAAGTATTTTAGACAAATAATATGAACTCATATATACAGTTTTGACTATCTTATTGACAATATTATGTGGTTGATAATGTTATGTTAATATTAGTAATTTTTCCTGTATTCCAAGATTGGGAGAAATACTTTTTTTAAAAAAAACAATTCCATCCACAAAAGTACTGAAATACCATTTAGTAGGTATTTACAGATGTTATTAGTTTAACCAAAAAAAAAAGCAGCTATACATTTTATTTTAATGTAGACAATTCTGTCAATCAAAAGAGATTGGCCGTACTAGCTTTCATATACAGAACATATTTTACAATATGACTTTATTAATAAAGAAATATTTCTAAAATAAAATAAGGTTTTAAAAAAGCTATATGCATTGAACATACATTTGCATTTTAACATACATTTAATTAATAGAGTCATAGATTACAAATATTTATTAATGCAACCATTAATTGATTTTTTTTGTCAAATTTTTTTTTATACAATTTCATTTAATGATTTATCAAATATCTAAATATAATTTCAAAATCATAGAGAGAAAAAATAACTAATAGAAAAATTAGTAGGTTTAAACTAATTTTTTAAAATATATATATAAATACCAAACATACCATAGTTTCTTTTTTTGGAACTTCTTCACACTCATCAGAAATTTTATTTGGAACATTATTATTATCTGGCACAGTAGGACGGATTAGAATTGTATTATCAATTCTTATCAATGTGTGGGTCTAAAAAAATTTTAAATGTTTAAATAAAACAATGTTTGAAACTATATTGCATTATAAATTGTACAAGAAGTTAAGTATTTAATACAGAAAATGGGACAAGATGCTATAAGTAAGACAATAATCACAATGATAAAATAACCAAATGGTACGCTTTCTAAAAAAAAATTTTTCTTCTTTTTTTTAAAGCAAAAAACAATGACAATTATAGGTAAGTTTCAGCAGTAAGAATGTGTCTTTTCTTTACTCTAGTTATACACAGTGCAAATAGGCAAAATTGATTTCTAAAGCGGCACATTATATTTTTAGTTACTTTTTCAACAAAAAATCTTGATGTTTTATTGGCTTTTCAGAAAAAGTCACAAATCAAATGTAAAGTATTTTGCACTATTTTAAAGAGTAACAGATACAATTATTTATGTTCTAAAACCTTTCGTTCACATTGCAAAGTTTCAAAATTAATTTCTATATTCTTTTTTTTTTAAAACAAACTGGACAATTGGTAAGCCATTTCTTAATAACATCATATAGCAAATGCTGAGTATTAGTCAGCATTTTAAAGAATAACACACACAGATACTACTTATGCCAAAAAAAACATAGGGATTGTGGATCAAATTTGTGAAATTAAATTAAAAATGTCTCTTGTCTATTAACAATTTTAAACATATTTTTATACGTACACATAAAAAAAAAACTTGACATTCAACTGTCATTTTAGGAAAAAATTGCAGCTTAAACTTTGTAAAGATTGACACGTGCATGAAATATTTATGTCCTAAAAATACAGAGTTTATATGAGGTATTTTTTATAATTTTTACCATGAAATTAAAAATTTAGAATTTAAAATTTTTATTTAAACATAAAAAGAATACAATATTCAACTGCCCTTATTGAAACAAAAATTCCAGATAGAAGGCATTATTTGAGTTATGCTGCTATTTAATCTATATCGCATTTCTATATTTCTCTTACTCCAATGTTGCAACATTTTTCATTGAGACGTTCAAACAAACACTTCGTTATATTAGTCCAAAGAACCGAATGACCTTCGCTTAATGCACATCTTGAATCACTTATTTTGAAACTGAACTACAATATATAAATATTAATAATATTACGTAAATAATTTTTACGGAGTTATGCACTTGCTTGTAAGGTATACCAAACACTTCAGGTTTCAACATTGAGTGTTTTCAATCAAGTAATGATTATGAATAATTTCAAATGAAAATGTGAACTTTGTTCAAGAGAACGATTTTACAGTTTGAATAGATAGTGGAAGCATAGTTTAAAAAATGTTTAGTTAAAATTGTTTTTACTCCATGGATACCTTACTAAACTGCGAGTAGAGTAAGCAACTTGTAAAAGATAAAAACATAAAAGTTTATTCTTTTTAGTTAATTGCGTTTAAAAGTATATAATAACTAAGGGGTGGGAGGAATGCAATTTTACACCAAGAACTTTAAATTACAATGCAGATAAATGTAACAAATTATATTTTTGAACCAATTTGGAAAAATAATTTTTCTTAACCTTAAATAAATTGTTATAGATAACTAATCTATTTCAAACAAATAATAATTAATTGTATAAGTATAATGCAATTTTCCAAAAAAAGAAAAAAAACTTTTTAAAATAGATTTGACAAAAGTATTTTGTTTTGAAGTTTAATTGATGCAATATTGAAAAGGTGGGTGCAAACAGGCTTGTTTGAGGCAGAAATCAGAACACTGCAATAAAATGCTACAAATAACAGAAGTTCCAGAGAAAAGAATACCAAGCAGAACAGGACAAGTTTTTTTAATACAACGGAGCAATCCTGCTTTTTTCCCTGTTTTTTTCTCAATGTTATTTAAAACATACAATTGGAAATTCATTTGGAACAAATGGTTACATTCTTACTCTATTCAACTCAGGCACTTCAGATTCATCTGAATCAACGTCACTATCTACATGTCTAATGCTTTCATCATTCTCAACTTCACATAAAATGGATTCTGGCCGCCTCTCTAGCTTTGTCAGAACTTCATCTTCTTCATCCGATACATTTTCCTCACAAGAATTACTTTTCAAAGCCACATACCAAACAGCCCCTGTTTAAAAAATTGAAGTTTACATATTTTAATGAAGTAAATTTTATAGCTTACTATTTCAAAAAAATAAAGGCTAAGACATAATAAATTAACCATTTGATGCAATAGGTGAAAGTGAAATAATGATTCATATTTTTGTTGGTTTAATTACAATCACAATAACTTAGTATTAATTATAATAATAAAAAAATGCTCAAATGACAGCACACAGAAATGAAGTAAAGCTTTAGCTCACATTTTGAACAATTTCTATAATATTGACTACGGTTTAAGTCAAAATATTTGAATTTTTTTTCTAGAATGTGAAATTTTAGATTGCAAGAAAATGCTGAATAATGATAAATTGTGGAAATCTTCTTATAGTCCTAGAAATTAAACTAAACTGCTAAAAATAAAAAAGGGAAAAGAAATAGAATCCACTAGATATGGAATCCTCCTAATTAATCATGTACATTAAGTAATTGCATGAAATTATAAGAGAACTCGTCATAAACATTTAAGCAAAATTACATGTCACTTTCAGCAGCCAACAATTTGCCCAAAAATCGATACATGTAGATTTTTTTATTCTTTTTTGCAAAAGAAGCATTTGAAAAATTCAGGGAATGGCCAAATAAAGTTAAAAAAATAAAAGACACTAACAAAAAAAATCGTTACTGGCTTGTTAAAGTAATCGCTATTATCAATAATATATTTTTAACATCCATTGTTTAACTGCTAGATACAGTGGGCAGTCTTTTTTTCAGTATTGCTTGAAACTCTATCAGGGTGGCCACTCTCCAGAGACAACAAAATTCCTTAAGGTATTCATAAAAGTATTAAAATATTTTGCAAATTGCTGTGAGAAAAAATAACACAATTATAGTAGTAATTTAGAAATTTACACACATGCATTAAGAACTAAATACTGAAGGAAAAATTAAATTAAAATTGTTACTCTTTTAGATTATAAATATTCATTGTTTCAAATCTAAGATTTTCTCGATATTGAACAGAATTTTTTTTTTATGATTCGTATCAAAAATTTTCATTCTCAATTTTATTAAAGGCTCTACATTGCCTGGTTTTGAAAAATATGCATTTATTATCCTTATGTTTCCAAATGTAAGAAAACAGAAATTATTAACTGGAATAATTTAAAATTAAAAAGAAATTGATTAAAATAACATTGATGACAAGAAAAACCAATAGAAGGATAAGATTTAAAATATACAATTTGACACATAAAGAGTAAAATAACAAATTAAAACACTTTATTCGCTGTAAATATAATGATGTCATATTCATTGAAATGAATATGGCAAGATATACTGCTAATTGCAAATACCTAAAAAAAAATTCATAGTTAAAGGCAAATTTACAGCGGTATTTTCAAATCCCCTAAGAATTCTAGACCCTGTTTTTAGAGTGATAACATTGTCATCTCTTGCATTGTCATCTCCGACAAAATTTTAATCAGTGAGTTTATTCAACTAAAGAATGATCCATTGCTGAACTGGATTCATATTCATATAATTCGTAAATACCTTTAGATAAACTGGGCAGTCTTTGACGGTATTCAGCTTTCAGTGTTGGCGAAAATGTTTCATTCTTGTTGCTATGAGACGAAATTGGGGGTAATTTGGCCTATAAAGAAATAAATAGGTTTCAGTTGAGGAAAGAATTTCAAATCATAGTGTTTAATAAATTTATTTTAAATAATTTTATTATAGTGTTTAATAAATTTATTTTAAATAATTTTATTTAAAAAAGAAGTAAAAACAATTCAGATTTTCAGAAAGTGAATAGTAATATTAATGTCTGTTGAAGCTCATTTGATAAATTGTTATAAACATGTTAATAAATTGTTAAAAAAAAAAATTTTTATAAACTGATATAAACTGAAATTTTTTTTTATCAACATGTTGTTTTATATAACAGTTTATAGCAGAATTGTATTTTTATGATTACATTAAAAAATTCTTTTGGAATGATGTTCATAATTTTTGTGATAAAATAGAAATTTAAATGTGCATATAATGTTAATTTTTGTAACCACACAGCTGATTACAATATTTCAGTACTTTTAAATGCACAACTTTCTACAAGATAACTCCAAGTTTGAACCATATTATTAAAAAATAGTTGAATTACATATCATTACTATAAAAAAAGTTAAGAAGTTTCACAAAAAAGTTTATTTTCTACTTTTCATAAGCATAAAATAAGAAACTCATAAATTTAAAATTATAATGATCTATGGTTATAATTCAAAATAACACTAGCTTTTATGGGATACTTTTAAAATAATTACTTAATTAAAATTTACGTAATATATATATATACACAGTGAAACCTCAGTTAAGAGGACACTCATGAGACTGCAAAAATTATCCGTTTAGGAGAATTGTCACTTTAGGATGGGAAATGTCCATTTTTACAGGGAAGGGCACCCTAATAACAAAGTTTATCACTGTAAATTGTTTTTAGAATATTTTCAACGTTATAGAAATAATTAAATAATCTACAATAACTATCGACAGAGATATTTATTTAAACTTTAAAAAATATTTTTTTCTATACAAAAAGAATATATCAAAACGTTTGATATAAATACATAATTCTAGATGTACCTACAGATAAATGAATATAATATTCCTATTAACACAGACATTCAAGTTAGTCATACGATAACGCATAGGAGCTTTTAATCCTTAGTCGGTTTCAATTATTAGATGTTCACCCGCTAACACCTACCCATTACTTGATAGGAAACGTGGATAAATCCTTGAAAGTAAACCTCCTGTGATTCACAGAAAACCAAGCAATGAATGAGCAGTATCATTTCTCTCCTTTTTTGCAAAGATAAAGCAAGGTGACAGGAAAAAGATTAATTCTTTAGTAGTGAAACAGCTTAACAATATTTTTTGTTATGGAAAAGGCAAAAAAATTGCATACTTTAAAAATGGTGAAAAGTTGTATACTTTTTTCCTTGCAGTTTAAAGCGAAAAAATGTTTTTTTTCTTCCGAATTTAGAAAAAACAGTGTCCGGTTTCAAGAGATAGAAAATAACGTATCAGAGCAAAGAAAACTGTGTCCGGTGACGGAAATGCGTGCAATAAGGAGAATGCACCTAATGGTTTATTTATAGAAGATTCACAGTAAATTAAAAATATGTGCGTATTGAGAGCCTTCCATTTTGCAGGAGTGTCCATAATAGGAGATTTCATTGTATATATATATATATATAATATATATAATTTACAAATATAGCTTAATAACAACAGTAAAAAATCTTTCTTACTAATTAATATTAATCTTTTGTTATGGCTTTGAGAACATAATTAATAAATCTGTACAGCATATTTTTTTTATAATTACCAAATTATTGATAATTTAATAATTGATAATAATTTAATATTGATAATTTAATAAAAGTTTATTAATCATAGATTTCATTTGCATAACATATTATACTAACACTTTTCAACCTTCTCCTTTCTCTGGCAGAGGTTACTTCAGTTTCAATAGGAACAGTATATTGTTGTGAAGGAGAAGAAGCTGCAACTTGCTTAACTGCTAAAACCAAAGTGTGACAACCACCACAGGCTACCTTTAAATATATATATATATAAAGTATATATGTACAAAGAACTAAGAAAATCAATAAGAAATATAAAAAAAATGTTAAATAGCTAATTATTACATTTTTAAAATTTTTGTTATCGTAAATTTATCTATTATGTCTATGTATAATACACAATGTATACATTATGAGAATTAAAACGTGCTACACATATGAAACAAAATTCTATGAAAACCAGATGACCAACTCAGAGTAATGCAATACAAAAAATGCTTTCTAATCAATTGTAAGTTAGAAACTTTTTCACATTAAAACATAAGCATACCAGTTTTCAACAAATTATTATTTTCTTAAACCTAAGTGCTCTAAGACTATAGCAAACTTTCACAAAATTTTTCCTGAAATACACTATCTTTTCACTAAATACAATAAAAAAGAAAAATTTTTTCCAACAAAACAGAATAGACCCAAACTAGCAACCAAGTGGTTCATTAATTAGAATCTTTTTCAAAAAATAAATAAACAACTTGACAAAAAATAAACTTAGAGAAACGAGAAAAAGTTAAAATTATCTATTTTTTGTTATTTTTCGTTTTAAAATTTAATACACTTTTAGAATAATACAATATAGTAAGCAATCACTAGTATTATAACCAGAGTAAACATATACACTATAATTTAGTTTTTGGTAGATTAATACAAAGTTTAAGCAAGTGAAAAACAGCTTTCTTTCAACTACAGCAAAGGAATATATCAAAGAGCAAATTTTTATTTTTAATATTAATCTAAAAACTAACTAACCTGTTGAACTTGAAAGCCATTAAACCGAGATACTAATGTTGGAACAAATTGATTTGAACAATCATCAACTCCAAAAAGTCCTAACTTCCCATGCCTACCATTTCCACAAATATATAGTTGTCCTCTATCTGAAAATGATACAAAATAAACCTTTCAAGAAATAAAGTAAAACATAGCTTTTTTTTAAAATTAAAGTTTTAGAAAAGTAACCTTAAATCTGATTTAGCTTTGAATCAATCCTTATAAAAACAATTTCTTGAACAATACAGGGAACAACAAACAAGTAACAAGAATAAAAGAACAACAATAATTTATTATGCAAACACAAAATATAAAATATAATTTTAATGACAAAAGAGCTGGTAGCTGTTATCTGGCGTGTCACTATCTTTTATAGAGACTGCTGAGATTTTTGTAACATGTTTAACATCTCTGCTTTAATGCTTATGTGCTATTTTTACCTTCTCACCAATCTGTCTCTTTATCATGCTAGCAATGATATTAAGTACAACTTAAGGAATAATTGAGTACTACTGCTAAAAATAAAAAAATGAAGACAATGCAATGAAATGTGCGACTTCGATTTTAATTAAAATAATTGCCTACCACGATACTTAGAAGTCTTTTTGGCTACCATGAAGGCGTATCATAAATACTTACAGGAAGATTTTGTGCTCGTGAGTTTATGGAAATTGCTTATATTTGAATAAGAAACTATTGGTGACATTGTTTTTAGGTTTATATTAAATTTGATATCAAAATTATAAATTTGTAAATTTTAAGTATGAATAAAAACAAATTAATACTCTCTATTAATATGTGGTAATAAATAATAAAATTTGCAATGAAAAAAAGTTTAAGTTGATAATAAATTGAAAAAAACAATTATAATTTAACAATATTTTTCCCTAATCACATTTTTTTTAAACATATCAATCAGTTTTAGTATACAATACTGTAACTGTTATATATAATTACTGTATCCCAAAAGTGATGTAAAAAAGCCTACAGAAAAAAATGGAAAAATTTATGCTTGCATTTGCATAAAATTAATGTCATTTAGGATAAGTAGAATTTATTAGGAAGAAATGGAAAGTCTTATAAACCATATAAAAGGCAACTTAAATTTTCATAAAATTATTATCATGTAAAGGGCAGAAAAGCACAAAGGTTTATTCATAGTTCATAAAAACAAAAACATTGCTTTTAATAGTTTTTGTTAACATCTATTTATAGAAAAATATCATTTCAATATAAACACTTAAATATGTTTGAGCTGCATTTAATCCTTATAAAAGTAACAGGTAAAAAATAGTTCAGCTCTGCTTTTTAATATCCTACATTCAACATTAATATATAATGAAGTAATAAAACTTAAAGTGACTTTAGAAACCTGTTAAGAAAGCAGAATGGTTTTCTCCGCAACTGACTCTTGCAATTTTAGAACTTTCTAAGAACACAATTTGATGAGGTGTAGCTACATCTAAGAGTCTTGAACCTAAACCTAACTGTCCATCATATCCATTACCAAAACTATATGCTTTACCATCAGCTGAAACATTAAAATTGCTGGATTACATAGCTATTTTTCAACAAATAATAAATGTAATATGGTTAAAAAAAATTCAATTTGTTGTAAAATTAAATTCTAAAAAAAATTGCAAAAAATAGCAAAACAAAATATTAATATCATATTTTATTGTATAACTCAATTTCTAAAAAAAAAGCATAGAAATAAAACGAAAATTTAATTCACCTAATTTCTGTGCCTGTACAGCACAGAAAAATAAATTTTGTTATAAAATAAAATTTTGTTAAAAAAAATAAAACACAATTTATAAATATCCTAGACCTTTAAACATAATTATATATTTCTTTTATATGTACGCAATCTATAAATATAGAATTTAAATCTAAAAAACAAAAATTTTTTTACAATAATTATGAGCTATAATTAATATTGCATTGTAAAATTTAACGAGACTTTTATAATTTTTTTAAAGAAAGCATTTAAATTATGTAAGTTTAATATAAAATTGAAATTCTTGAAGCAATAGTATATAAACATGGAGGCAGCATCAATGATATAAAGCAAAGAATCATAAAAGTTAGAACCTGCTTCAGAAGCCTTTAAAAATTTTGGAGAGCTTCAAATATAAAATTTTCCACAAAAATAAATGTTTTTAAAACTGTTGTTCACTCCATACTTTTGTATGGTGCTGAATATTGGAACCTTCGTAAAACCAAAAATATTCCAGAGCAAACGTTTAAGAATAATGTTAAAAATTTTCAGGCCTAACGATGTTTCAAATAAAGATCTACTAACGAAGGCAAAATTATCACTCATTAATGAGGAAATTCTGAAGAGAAGATGGACTGGACATATCCTTTGCCTAAAACAGGATAATTCTGCCAGCATCTCACTTATTTGGGCACCTGATTGAAAATGCAAAAGAGGAAAGCCAAGACTTACTTGGTAAAGATAAATGCATCATAATCTCTGCAAAGTACAACTAAATGAATGGGAGGGGCAAGAGGACTGGCTCAGAACAGTAGTGCCTGGTAAAAGAGACTTGAGGCCTTATGAGCCAGCTGTCGCAAAAAGGATAGGTAGGTAGATAAATTTTAGTGAAAATAAAAATATAGATAGAAGAAAGTTCATTATTTTTATCGTAGCTGAGTAAAAGTCAAGAGCTCATCGGATGCTCCATCATCAAATTTTACATTTTACATGCACTGTATGATATATAAGTTACGGCCAAAGCCCGAATTCGGCCACTATGCGAATTGGCCGGCCAAATCACGAAATGACTAAGAACGCTGTAAATTCGCTGGCCAATGTCTGATCTTTTCTTGATTTCGGGAATTGGCATGGGAGGATCATCCAAAGTTGGAAGAAAAATCATTGGTACATATTATTGGCTCTGTATAACCATAACTTCATTCTTTAAAAATTGCTAACTGCAGTAGGATGTGGCCATCTGAGACAAAGTAAAAAATTAAATTTTTTAAATTTTAATTTAAAAACTTGTCTATTTTTTCATATTTTAAAATTAGAAGATTTATATTTTTAAATTAAAAAAGAAAACAAAAGGAGCAATGTTAGCATTTTAACTTTTTCATAAAACAAATATTAAAAAATTGTGGTCCCACCGCCTACCGGGCATTCTTGAATGAGCATATCGCGTTTTGGCCAGAAAATCGTGGCCACTTCGCGAAATGGCCAAACTTTGGGCTTTGGCCGTAACATATACAATACTTTAAAACAATAAAAATAAAACAAAGACAAAAAAATGACAAATTACAAATCAAAGTTACATTTATTAAATTAGATAGATTACTCTATTTATCCAGTGTGTATGTAAAGCATGTAAAGGCATATTTTAAATGATAAATAATTATAATAAAAACTTTAAAAATGCTTACATGTTAAAGCAATAGTATGATTACCACCGCAAGAAACCCAAACAATCTTTCGGTCAAACCCAGAAACACAATGAACACTGAGAGGAGACTTCTTAAGAGCATGGTCAGGTAGTCCTAACTTACCAGACTCTCCTTCCCCACAAGTGTATAATTTACCATCAACTTGAAATAAAAAAACTCACATCACTATTAAATGAAAATATCAAGTAAAAAGAAGACAATATTATATTATTAAGAAAAATACACAAATTACGAATAAAGCAAAACAATGTGTTTAAGGTGCAAATAAAGGTTTTAGTTTCAGATCTATAAACAAAAATTTTCCAGAGTCTAAGTAATTAGGTTTTTTTGGGGTGGGGTGGGGATTTTGATTCTCAGAAAGATTTTCGTTTATAGAACCAAAAATAGAGTATTTGAATTTTTGTACCATTCTTTGCATTGTTTTCTTTTGTTAATATGCTCTGATAGAAGACATTCTCCAGCATGACAGTGTGCGCAGCAAATTATTTTTTTTTACCTCAGATTTAAAAAGCAAGACAAAAATATTACTGAGAGGAGAAACAGAAAAATTGTTTTTAATTCCTAAACTTACTCAATAACTATTTGCTTCAGGCACTTACAAAAATTTGTTTTAAAATTTTCAGACATTATAAGCAAAAGAAAAATGATCACTTTCAAAAATTCTAAATAATATTCTTTAACTAACTAGAGTTTTGAAAAATAAAAAAGTTTAAAAGACCAGAAAATTTTTAAAAAATATTTTTAATTTCCAAAAACTCAAGTCGCTTGTTTATACATTATATAGGGACAAAATCAATTTTTAAATTTTAGTTATTTCATTAATTTAAAAGTGCATAAAATTTTTTAATGCAAATGACAAATTTTTAAAATTTTTTTGTATATAATTTTTATCTATCTAATTAGCACTAGTTTTGCTGAACATATGTTAGATTTAGCATAATTTTTACAATAATATGCATCTTCCTGACTGTGTTAGGGTTGCTGGCAAAATTGAATCTATGAAAGTTGCGCTGCAAATTGACTCGGTAAATTCTGCTACTAGTTCATATGTAGCATGAGGTATACCCTTTCTTTATTTCGTCATACAAGTTACATAACAACGAATTTGAATTTTATTTTAATTTCTAAGACTTGTGGCACATGAACATAGTGAATTAGAAGTATACTCAATAAAAATCACCATAGATTTCTACAGAAACTTATTATTGCGAGAAAGCTTTTAAAAACTAACTTTGAGCAAGGCTGATAAATAAGTACCTTTAAGTATTATTTAAGCACTCATAAAATATTTTTAATCACTTTCCAAAAAAAAATAAAAAAAATTAGGATCTGTGGAGTAATAAAAAATTTTTTCTATCGTTTAAAATTCTTAATTTATGAACACAAAAATCAATAAAATTCAAAAATATTTTCAAAAACTTTACATAATCATGATAAAATAACTAGTTTCTGATAAATATAGCAGGGAAATCGACAAGTCAAAGAAGAAATAACTTTTTAAAAGATAGAAAATTAAGCACTTTTTATAAACCCCGAAAAAAAAAAAAAACCCTTTAAGGGCTTTCAAAGAACAACTAAAAAATAAGCACCTTTAAGCACTTTTTAAAAATGATACGCACCCTGTTTAAGAGACAAAGCAATTGCCTCCCAATAATGCGAAGAACATACAAATCCCAACAATTACTGGTCAATTCATAGATTGCTTTCACCTCATACCAACCTAAGTGATGAAGAAAAATATCTCCTGTGATCACTCACTCTTGTAAACAGGCTATCCATCAAAAGTTTTTGTGGCTTTTTTCTCCATGTAATCCAAATATGATTTGGTTTCACTCAAAAAATCTAAAATTTGTCCTAATGCTTGATCTTGGAGTTATCTTGTCATTTGGGTTAAATTCTAAATATTTCTAAAGAAAATTTTTATTGATAGAAAGCCTTTAAATACTAACTTTAAGTCAGGCTGACTCAAGAAATAAAGCACTAGCTTTCGATTAAGGAGAACATTCAAATCCCAGCAATGGCTGGGCAATTCTTATATTGTTTCCACCTCATACCGACCACAGTATTGAAGAAAAATAGCTCCTGTGGTGCTCACTCTTGTAAATGGAATACCCATCAAACGTTTAAGTGTTTTTTTTTTCTCCATGCAACTCAAATGTGAGTTGGTTTCACTCAAAAAATCTACTAATTTTTAATCTAAAATTTGTCCTAATGCATGATTCAGGAGTTCTCTTGTCTTTTAGGTAAAGTTAAAAATTAGAATGCTAAACTATTAGAATGCCATTGTACTTTAATACAGCTTCAAATTGGATACGGATTGGCTGCTCAATGTAGATGTTATGTTTAACAGTTTTGAGAAAAATATTTTACCCAAGTTTCATTAGGCAAATCTTTATTTGTAATTTTGGTTTTAAAAAATGTTTAAAGAACAATTAATTTCTATGAAAAAAATTATTGATAGTTGACTGATAAAATTTAAGAGCGAAAAAATAAAATAAGTTACCTGTAACAAATGCAGAATGATAATATCCAGCAGACATGCAAATAATATTACAGTCTAAATTGAGCTCAGTAGGAATAAGAATGTGGCCAGATTCAGGACCTATTTGACCTTCTGCTCCACTTCCCCAGACATAAACAACACCTTTATCTATATATATATATATATATATATAATAAGCATTTTAAAGTACTAAACATAAATAACTCATGAATTGAGACTAAAAGGTAAATTTCATTGCTTGAAATTTTTTTTTAACAATAACAAAAGATCTCAGAATGTTAATACAGAAAAAAAAAAGTTCTGATATTAAAACAATATAAAAAAATTATAAAGCACATGCACTTAAAATTCTATTTTTGAATGATTAAGTACATGATATGTGAAACAAAATTAAACAATCAACTTTGATGTCAAATTTTTATTTATTTATTCATTTTATTTTATTTATTTAATTAATTTTTGAATAATTTCTTCTCTGATCAACAGTATAAAACATGAATCCAGTTTTCATCTTTATTTTAGATAAGTCCTGATTTTATTAATTGTAGTAAGTATTTTAGTGAATGGTAAAAATTATTTATCCTATCTATGATTTTTCAAAATATACTTTCAAAGACATTAACATTTAAAACTGGATGAAAGATGGATTATTATACATCTTCATTATAAGTCAAGCAATCCATGAATATACACTGGTCGACAAAATTAAGAGATGGAAGACATTTTCCCAAATATCTAAAAAAAATACTAAATATAAATAAATGAAATTTGGTATGGTTATAGCTTATTCCATGATAATAAAGTATGCGAAACAAAAATGAAAGTGCCATTCACTGGCAAGACCTATTGCCAATAAATCCAATGTAGTCTGAACTTAAGGATAAAAGATTACTATAAAAGTGAGGCGTGTAGAGTGTGTGTTGCCTCTAGTATGGTGTATTTTCACCCCTGACAAACAGACAGCATGCGCAACAAGTATGCATGCTGTTAATAAGGGAGTTAAGGAGGACTTGTGGAAGACCCTCCCATTCTTCCACCAGAGGAATTTTGAACTCCAGAATGGTTCTGGGGGAGGTTGGCGCATCGCTATAGCTCTCCCAAGAGCATCCCAAGCATGTTCAATAGGATTCAGGTCAGGGGATTTGGCTGGCCAATCCATTCGTTGAATATCCTCGCTTTCCAGATACTCATCAACCATGAGAGCCCTATGTGGTCGCGCATTGTCCTCCATAAAAATGAACTCAGGGCCATCAGCGTCCCTGAAAAAATGCGCATAGGGCTCTAGGTTCTCCTACCTGTACCTCTGGGCATTAACGGATCAATTGTCAAGCACATAGGAGCGGTGTGCAGGTATCTTGCATGATCCCTGCCCAAGCCATGAGTCCTCCACCAGCATAATGGTCCCTTTCGATAATGTTGCTGGGATGGTATCGGGTTCCAGGTTCCCTCCATATCAAATATCAATAACCGTCCAGAAATAGCGTCATAGAAATGTGCGTCATAGAAGAATATAGCGTTATAGAAATGTGCGAAAATGCTTTCCATCTCTGAATTTTGTCCACCAGTGTATATGGTTCAAAATTTTCTTTTCTTATTAAAATTTTTTTGTAATTTAATAAAAAATATCTTAAATGTCACACTTAAATCTATTCATAAATACATATTAAAAAGATACAGATAAAATAATTGAAAAAATTATAGGTATAAGGTAATTAGAATTTTAAATGTGGTGGCTAAGTTTCGGATTGAAATTAATGGCCTATATATAGCTAACATATAAAATATATTGACACTAAACACATTAATGATATAAATAAATGTATTCAAAAAGTAGTACATACTTAGATTAATCCTGGGATAGAATGCATAAATATGTTTAAACAAAAGTTATTACCAGAATTGTAAAATACAAAATACATATTATAAAATAAATGTAAAATTAAACAAATACTATCAATAATTTTTAAATAACCCTGTTATCAAAACAACAAATAAGAAAACTGGTTTTAAAAGGTGAAATTAACTTAGCATTGGAACACAAATAATTAAATCACAGCAAAAAATACTTAACACAATTGGATACATTTTTTTAAAATAGTGAGAAATTAATAAAAAAGGATCATTATAAAAGGGATTTGCTCGATTTAAATTTACCATGTGCACATTTTCAATAAACAGATCTAAAGAACTGATAAAATACTTCATCTGAAATTAAATTATACTAGCAGTAAGTTTTGAAAAGAAAAATATATTGTCTGAACTGCAAAATTTGAGCAATTATAAATGAGGAGTTCATTTTTTTATGAATTGTGAATCTATTCAATGAAGCTTAATGAATGCATATGAAATATCATTTATATTTTAAAAGAACATGTAACTATCTTCTTTTGAAAGAAGTAAAATATCAATAAATTTAATTAATGATAATTCGTTACTTTCAAAGGTCATAGCAACCTACAAAGAGAACTATTTAACAACCCATCTAGAGAGTGATGTCACTCTTCATTCAAAGGGAATTCAAGATGTTTAAAGTTTATTGTGCAGTAATATCAAAATAAAAAATAATATTTTGATTTTAAGAATAATAAATGAGATTTTAAAAAAATATTTTTTAATGTTCTGTTATCAAATGATTGTTTCTTAATGAAAACCTTTTATTTTAATATTGAAAAAATGAAAAAGGTTCATTATTGTAACGAATTGTTGAAATTGGATTATCGTAAAAAAAAAAAAAATTCACTATTAAATAGCAATTGTGACTAAATATTGGTTTGATGTTCTTCTGAAGATACATTACAGCAAAGAAAAATCCATACAAAACTTACTATAAAATGTGAAAATGTGAATAACATAAATAATTTTGATTTCAAAGAATTTTTTTATATAAGGTGAATCGCAATTGTTTTAACAAAATAAGAAAGGAGGTAGTGTGCACATCATAGAAAAAGATTGAGAATTACATATGAAACCGTGGCAAAAAATTTCAACCTATGCTGCCAAGGGTTCTTCACTGTTATAAACTTCTTATAGATAGGATTGACAAGTTAGTCACTAAATCATGAAATAAGAATTTTTAAAAAAAACTATTTTAAGGAAATTTTTGACAATAAATATTAAAAACATAAAATCGAGATAATTTAGTTAAATGAAAGTACCAGTTTAAAAGTGCACAAACAAGAAATTCACAATTGGGAATTGCTTCTAGATGTGTACAATAACATTTCAAGGTCAAGGGTTTCAGTATAATTCTCAATCCTTATGATATATCCTATCTCTCTTATTTTGTAAACAGAATTTAGACTCACTCTCCATATGTGTGAAATGGTGTGTGATTTTCAACAATTAGAGCAATGATTAAAGTAGGCATTGTCAGACTCACCAGTAAGAGCCATTGAATGATCAGCACCTCCACTCAGCATTTTAATAGTAATGCCTTCAAGACCTTGAACTCTGACAGGAGATGAATGAATAGGCTCTTCATCAGCAGATCCTAGTTGGCCTTCACTGTTTGAGCCAAATGCATAAATATGACCACCAGCTAGAAAACAACTTTTAATGATCATACCTATCAACCACATTGTTTAAAATGCAGAAGATCAACTACAAAAATGCAGAAGATTTTACACATTTTCAATTTTTATTCCTTATTCAAAGAATCAACCGTACAGTTATTGGAATAAGTGGAATTTAGTGGCCTAATACAAAGAGCTCAAATAATTTTGAAATAGAAAACTGTGATTCTTCTTTATTTTATTTTGAACTATTAGATGCTTAACATCTTATATTTTACATTAATTAGTGATCAACAACATTGATCAGGCTAAAGTGCAATGAAAACTCAAGATATAATTATCTGAGTAGGGCTGCCTATTCTTACACATGCATGTGTAAGTAGTTCTAGGGAGGTGCAAAATTTTAATCCACATTTCCAAAAGGCAGAAGATTTGAGTTTCAGTGCAGAAAGGCAGAAAATGGAGAATAGTTGGCATATGTAAATGATAAATAAGGTATTAAAACAAACTAAAGTCTTGAAAAAAAATAGTCTTCAATAATAACTCTTAGTAAACATTTATCTTCTGATTCTACTAATGTCGTAGACAATAACGGCATTTATTTATTTCTTGATACACTAAAAAATTTTTATTTAAAAATAAAAATAAAGAATTTTTAATAGAATTTTTATAAATGAAAGAGAATTAAAGTAAGTCTATGCATTTAACAATCTCTATAAATCTTTTTTTTAAATAAAATTCTCAAAGCCTCAGAACTTTTTGCATTAATTTTAGTACTCATTTTCCTCTCAATAAAACTCACGTGGATTATTTAAACCACTCAAAGCTGACTTTCTCCAAACTTAATTTGGTTGCTTTACTGGAACAAAAGTGTTCGTTTTTTAGGGAAAAGATACAAGAAAAAATTCTGCTATGTGTTCTACACATTATGACTTTACCTAAAGTCATAATGTTTAAAGGATTAAAAGTTTGTAAATAAAAAACATTTATATTAAATAAATATTTTAAAGAACTTTATACTTTGACAAACTTCTTATGTTAATTAAAAATTGATCCAACAACAAATTTAGATAAAGATAAATAAAATCTTATAAAGAGAAATTACGACGAAAAAAAAAATAGAGAGATATAGCAAGAGAAACATTAGATCCATCTACTTTCCTACTTTACTATGTTTACAAGCTAAATAAAATTACAGTACTTATAACTTTCTACTTAATGACTTCAGCTATTTGATAAGTCATATTCTTCAATTAATTAAAACCTACTTAAAATTTCTTAGTCATTGAAATGAGTAAAATACTTTAAATATGAATTTTATGTTTGTTCCATAGTACTACAAAAAAGTAAAATTAGTACTTAAAAAAATTTTTAATATCCTGGCTTTATTTTTTAATCACAATTACTATAAGTGGTAGTCGAAGTNTAAATTTATTGTATTACTTTTCTTTGTCGCCTGGACAGGATTTTCCTCTTGACGACGAATATATATTCTTTGTATTTATGTGTTTTTGTTCCCAATAAAGTTATATTTGTTTGGAAAAAAAAATGTTTTGTTTTAAGTGAAAAGATAGAAGAAAAAATTCTGCTATGTGTTCTACATATTATGACTTTACCTAAAGTCATAATGTTTAGAGGATTAAAAGTTAGCAAATAAAAAACATTTATATTAAATAAATATTTTAAAGAACTTTATACTTCAACAAATTTCTTATGCTAATTAAAAATTGATCCAACAAGAAATTTAGATAGACAAGATAAATAAAATCGTATATAGAGAAATCACAACAAAAAAAAAATAAAAAATAGAGATATAGGAAGAGAAACATTAAATCGATCAACCTTCTTACTTCACTTATCTTCACTTAATGGCTTCAGCTATTTGATAAGTCATATTCTTCAATTAATTAAAGCCTACTTAAAATTTCTTAGTCATTGAAATTAATAAAATACTTTAAATATGAATTTTATGTTTGTTCCATTGTACAACAAAAAAGTAAAATTACTTAAAAATTTTTTTAATATCCTGGCCTTATTTTTAAATCACAATTACTATAAGTAGTAGTCGAAGTATTGTTTTCAATTACCTACTTTCCATTATCTTCTTTGTGGAGGTAATGACAGGTTATCGTATAACTTTGAATAAAGACAAAATCACACCCTTTTCTTTTTTGTATAAATTTTATGTAATATGTGATAACACGCAATCAGAAAACTAAAAAAATTTCATTGTATTAGTACATTTAATTGTTTTAGTTAAAACCTTTAGAGAGTAAATCTTTTCAGTTAAATTAATTTTCTTTGAAAGTTAGTTTAATTAATTTTTAGTTGCAAGTTTTATAAATTTTTTGTATTGTCTCATAACTTATTATATATAAGATGTTCGAATAATTAACTATCTGTGTTTTAGTCCCAGCTTCTTCCGAATTTTCAGATGCAGACTTTCTTGCTTTAAAAAACCGGTTACCCCATGTTATTCAATGGTAAAATAGTGCATAGCAAGGAAATTTAAGTACTAACTTAGCCGAGGCTAAATGCTTGCAGGGTTAAAAAAATTAAATAAACATAAATTTACCTGTAGCAACCAAAGTATGTGAGCGGCCACATGCTATTACAGTAGCCCTTTCTCCTTTTAAAGCTGAAATAAACATGAAAAAAGTTGAATGAAAAATATTTACTTATAAAATTTAAAAAGATGTTTTTATTTTAATTTATAGTTTTGCACCTTAGTTAAAATAATAAGTCTTGAATCATGAAAAAGGTGTAACTTATAAAAGATACATTATCTGCATTAGTATATTAACCTAAAAAATAAAAGTATAATTGTATTTAAAACTCATTCAGATTCAAAGCAAAATAGGCTTACAATTTTTAAACTTTAAAAATCTTCAAACAAATCTTTAAGAATTTTGAGTTCTTTAAAAGAACTTTTAAGTTAAAGCAATGGAAAAAAGTCTCATTACTAAAAATAATGCTAAAGTTCCAGGATCTATAAACAGTGAAACAATGCATGCTCTCTACAGCTCAAAAGCAAGATTATTATAATTCCTTGATTTAATAGAAATATCCTTTGTATCTTAAACTGCAACCACTATGACAACAGAAATTCAATTGTTTATTTTTAACAAAAAAAAATTTAATGCATATTTACATTAGAGATTCAGCTCAAGTCCAATGAAAGATTTCTTGCCATATTCCCTGATTAGAGAAAAAAAATTGAAAGGCAAAATTTCAAAGTTCAGAGGTTTTTAAATTATTTTAGAAGTTTATACAGCTATTATACAACAATATTTCATTTCATTTAAAATATTGTGTCACACTAATTAAGTTTCAAAAGCAGTAGGACATATTTAGCAACGCCTTAGAGAATAAGAACAATAAAGCTTCAGCTGACAATATATTTAGCTGGCAATATTATTAGGCATGAACGATATTATTATTACATTTTATTTTTTTACTTGGATTAAATTTTAAAATAAATTTTTTTCGTACAATACAATAATATCTTGAAGAAGCAATTATTATGATGACATAAAATACAGGACAAAGTCTCATACCAGATATCAATTTTCCGCAAACGTCTGTTTTCCAAACACTTTCTGACAATTAAAATAAACAAAGTTCTTTTCCATTTATCAGAAAAAATTTTTATGGGTTTCCTTTTAATTTTTATTTTATTATTACTAAATTTTTTTTTTTTTTTTGCATTTACAACCTGTTACAAAATCTTATGTATAAGAAATAGAACTTTCTAAATAATGACTCCTCAAGTTGAATACCAATTACCCAGACCTGCTAAAGTCCAGATGATTCCTGATATGTGACTTTCCACCTAATATTTTGTAATATAATAAATTATATTCATCTTTGTATTTTATTAAAATGAGAAGTAATTCGAAATAAAATAAAAGCCATTAAATTAGAAACGATCTAAGTATTCATCAATAATTGAATTATCAAAACTATAATAATGGTTGCTGTGTCTGAGTCTATCTGCGCTTCATTTTCCTAAGCGCAAATCATTTTAATGTTAACAAATTTAAACAACATGCTTCACAAGATTAGGTCTGTTAATAACAAATTTACATTTACACACTGCCAAAATTAAGTGATATGAAGTAAGGATAAAATATGAGTAGACCTAGGGTTCCATATGAAATAACTTTTTGTTTCTACTCTACAGTAAAAATCTTGTTAAGTTTATTTATAAAAAGTAATGTAGTATTATTTATTTACATCTTGAATTCCAAACTAAACTTTTTAAACAATATATACTCCTGGTTTACTTCTTAATACAAAAAATTTACTTAACACACATTCAACTTGCTAAGCTATTAAAAATCAAAACGAAATGCCTTCAATTAAAATTGTCTTGCACTCACATCACTTCCTTATTCATTCCCTTATTTATCCATGCAGTACAGATAGGTTGAAAAAAAAAACATTTAGACAATTCTTTAAGTATAAAAAAACATTAGCGTAAGTGAATTCCAAGGGAAATTTATTTCGGACAATCAAACTTAAAATAAATATGGATTACAGTACACATTACTTCAAACTCCACTCTGCGGATCATTAAATTACACTTATCAGCAGGCACAAGTGTAATCCAAACCTCACATTGGCAGCTATCAGCGATGTTGGTGAGGTAAAAAAAAACCTTGAAAAACAGGTGCAGGTACATAACAAATCTTAGCCGTTTTTACTACCAGGTATACACTTAAGAAAAATTTTAATTATCATCAACATTCAAAACTAAAATTTTTGCTAACATTTTACATAAATTATCTATTTATAATAAAATTCTTATAAGCTTTAAAATTAAAAAAAAATTTAGATTACCTTTGACAAATGAAGGTTTTTCCAACGTCTTAGTATGTCCATGTCCCAATTGGCCCCATTCATTGCTACCAAAAGTGAATAAACGACCAGATGCTAAAATTAAGAATATGCTTCACTTTAGTAGTAATACAAACTATAACAATTAATCTAACTCAGACGAAATAATAATTCAAAAATAATAATTATAGTCTAAAACAATAGTTTGAGAAAGAAACTATGAGGAATTTAAGATAAAATTAGTTCTATAATACAAGAGCATATCATAGTCTCATATGTACTGAACTTTTTCGATATTCATTTCCGGTTATTTAAGGACATTTTTATACCACAAAAATAAAGTAAAAATTCTGTTGGAAGTAATAAGACTCTCACCTTAATTCCTTTTCACTAAGACAGTTCATTTTATGATTGTATTTTTCTATTTGGCATAGTACAAAATCCCATGTCGGGATGTCCATTTAGCAGAAGTTTTTTTTTGTTCCAGACACTTTTTAACAATCAAAATAAACAAAACTCTTTTCCTTTTTCAAATAATTCTAACTGTTCACATCATAAGTGAAAAAAATTATCTTTATTTATGAAAGATAAAGCTCAAATTATCCTCTGCTCACTTTTATTATTTTATATCTACATTTTATCATACTAAACATTGCTTAGTTTTTTAAACATCATTCGAACTATAAGAAAACATTGTATCAAATTGACAACTATTAACTATCATAGATTCGTTATTTTTTTATTGAATAATGCAGGTTCTGATATTTTACCTTTATCTGGAAAAATATATTTTCCGGACTTGTAAAAATTACCAGTGATTCCGGACATGGGACTTTTTTCAATATTTATAAATGCTCTGTGTTCAAAATCAAAGGGGATCTATAAATATTGTTTCAGAAATAAAAATGCTCTTAAATAAATATATCATTATTATCCTTAAAAAACTAAATGTAAAAAAAAAATTTTTCTTCATATTTTTAAATTAAAAAGTTAATGTTCATCGCTTCAAAATTAGATTTCATTTCAGATGCAATATATTTTGCTGAACTCTACAAAATTTCATCAAAAAACGAGAAAACTGTAATATTTTTATTTTATTTGAATTATAAAAAAAGTTCAAAAATTAATATCTAAAGTGGTAATTTAAAATTTTACTATTTATAGCAGGAATTTATTTTTTATTCCGATTAGTAAAAAGAAATTATTTTGTTTTCCATGAAAAAACTACCATATGAAGGCATTCTTGCATGAAAACTCATGTATATTTTTAAATATGCTGACTAAGTTGTACCATTATGCTATTTTGTTAATTTTTTTAATTTTATAATAATGTCCATTATATTGTTATTTTATCCCTATCATTCTTCTCTTTAAAAAAAACTTTTTCTTAGTGATAAAATGACTATGTAGGATTAAAATCGAACTAAGTTAATTATTTTTTAGCTATTTCATTATAAAATATGGAGCGTTAGATACTTACTAATGCTAATAGAGAAGTAAAAAAAAATTCTTATCATACAACATTTAGCTAAGTCTAACCATAAACACACTTTACTCTACCTCAAAAAATAATTCATAACAAATAGAATTTTGAAAATTATTTTTAAATTTCTAAATAGATCTGTTTTTTAGATGTCCCTCTACCAGTTTGAAATTAATTAATAGTTTTCACAAGTTTTTAATGATATTAGAACAAAGCTCGTCAACAGCTTAAATTAAAATACTATATAAGTTGATCATAAATAGGAAATTTGCAAACATTAAATTTTTTAACAGTTTCTAAAACTGAAATAAAAATGTTTGCTGCAATCGGAGTCTCTAAAAATATTAAACAAACTATCTCAATTTAAAAAGGAGAAAATATATGTTTTTTTAACATATACCCACTTTAGCCCATATAACCACTTTCCCCCACCTGACTGTACTAGTTCAGTAGTAGTAGTATACTGATGGGAAAGAAGAAAGGATTATATAAATTTAAACAGCTACAGTCATTTAAGAAAATTATTCAATTTCAATACCTGTTAGTATGGCAGTATGTTCATCTCCACAAGAAATTTGCAAAATTGGATCATCTTTAATCCAAAATTTGCCAGCTACATTATCAGAAAAGCGACTTCGTCCAAATGTGAAAGCTGCCCCACAATCTAAAAAAAGTAATAATTTATATTTATTAAGAAAAATTTGATTAGAAATAAATATTGCACATAATAATAAATAAATGGAAACATTTACATATTGGTACCAGATCCTGTAAACTGTAATCTCAAAGGTACCACTGTCTGGTAATTGAAATTAATTCACGATATATACATAAAAGTCAAGCCTATATATGCATAGAAGAAGCCCTGTTAAGGGCTGAGATCTTAACCCTTTAAATTTACCCTTTTCTATATTTTTTATTTCAGTTTCATGTGCATGTTTGGTTGATTTTCTCCAAAATTTAGTTACTACTTTAGTACAGATATCGATATAGAAATCTTCCCATAGGTCTTTTTTAAATGCTAATTGCAATTCACAATTTTTTTATTTTATTTAGTTGCGTTAAAAACAAGAGCATTATATTCTAATGCTACCCAGTGAAGAAAAGCTGTCAATTACAGAACAATCAATTGACTAAAACTTATATACTGGCTTAGTTAAAACTTATATACTGGCTTAGTAAAACAAAACAGTAGCGGCCATCTAGGAATCAAAAACATTGGTGATTACCAAGAAGTTGATCTAATTTATGAATTTTTACGCATTACCATTCCCATTATAAAGACACTATTAAAGAGGTCTACTTGTTATCAAACTGCAACTGGGCCACATTGCAACTGCACTCATGATGTATCTATTCTCGTCTGTCAGACTATTTTGAACTTATAAGTTATAGGTTAATTTCTTTTTCCTACTTGATTTTTAAAAGCCATGCCACTAGGTGAAAAAACAGCAATTAATTTCAGAAAAAAATCAACTAACACCTATACATGGTGAATGTATTTAAAAATATGATAAATATACCTGGTTGGTTCTAATGCCACTTGCCACACGGGCAAGCCTGCTTAGTGAAACCGAGCAAATTTAACATCCATTCATTCATCCACAGATCGTAATTTTTCGCCTGAATCAGAGAACGATTGATCTCCAATCCAGTACCCCCCCCCCCAAAGGTATTGATTTGTTATGGGAACATGGAGGACTTTGTGACTCGACAGAATTTTAACATGCATCAGTCACCAACTACACAGGGAGTCTTCGGCCGGCGGGGTTCGAACTCACGGACATAGGCACAGTGCCCTACCGACCAGGCTATCCCGGCCACATAAATATACCTGTTTTTTATAAATAATGAGTTCATTACCAATAAGTTGATTTTTTAAGAAAATTTATTTCAAAACCACTATTTAAGAGACCTACTTGACTTAAGTCAGCTCTGTCAATAAGTTAATGTAAGAATGACTTATTATATACTAGAGATGAGTTTTGGCTCACTTTTAAAAAACTGAACAACAACTAAAAACTTTTATCCAAGCCAGGTGTCTCTGGCTTAGATAAAAAACAAGACCAGAAGTCTGATGATGTCTTAATAAGATTATTCATCATAACTTTTTTTAATACTACCCTTCCTCTAAAAGAAGAAGCAATAAAAAACTGCATTTGCAATATCTAATTGCTACGACCAATAAACCGCCAGACAACCACATAAGAATTATAATGCTATATTATTAAAATTTCTTGTTTTCGTTGAAACATTAGATTTGATATTTCTTAATTTTTTCAAAATTTTATTGTGTACCTAATGACCAAGCACAATAGATTTTTATATAGTTGTCTACATTGAAGGTAATAAAAAAAAAGTAATGAATAGCTCGTGTGCCCGAAATTCTTACACCACCCCGACCTCAATACATTTCTCTACTCACACCTTTCCAGCCTCAGCACATTTTTTTTTTGTTTTTTTTTCTTTTAACAGGAAGCTTGGACTGAATGCATCTCATCTCTAATATCTACAATCTTTACTACTGCTCTTCATTGTTAAAAGTTGCTAGCTTTTCAGGAAGATTTTGCATCATATATACTCCAGAAAAAAAATTGGAGTCTTCCTGCCATGAGAAACTATATATATATAGTACAATAAATAAGAACAAAAAAAGTTCTTAATTTTCTTTTTGTACTTATTTATTGTGCTATGTTTTTTATACAGTTTCTACATTAAAGGGGACTAACTCTCAAACAAGCCTCAACACTTTTAGTTTTTAAAAAATTTCAAGTTAGACATTAGCAGTTGATGCAATGAGTTACGAATACAAAAATAACTCCGTTTTTTTTTAAATATCCGACTATTAAAATGGTAATGAAACTAAAGTTTCATAATTTTCAAAAAATGTTATATTAAATCCGTAGGGAAATAAAAAGAATCCGTAGAGACTCTAAATATTATAGATACGCAACAGATCGGCTATAACTAAATTTCAGTAGTTTAAGTAGGAAGACGTAATTCTGATATAAATAACATATTAATAAACGAAATAGTTTGATAAAACTAACATAAAAAAACTATGAATATCAAATTTTCCTTATATTTTGTAGCCATAAAACAGAAAATCTTGTCCCATCCTATTTATAAATGTCATATTTTTCTTAAGCTTCTAAAACGATTTATTATGCAAGTTGTTATAGGAAATATTTAACAAATTACAATAATAAAATCTACTCTAAAGCCCAAAAGAGATATATAATTAAACATATTAACCAGGAACATCATTGTCAATATCCGAAGCCATGAATTAAAAGGGCGAGGGAGCTTAATTCTTAGAAATTCCTCTACTAATTATATTTATATTTTTAAAAGTTTGTATAACTTTTACTAAACAGATAGTACTTGCTTTTGCCTCTATTGAATGCAAAAGCTCTATGGAAAAAGTGTCATAAGATTCTAGGAAGTAATCCGAATAAACTGTTCCGGTTTATATATGTAGATTCAGCTTTATAAAAGTTTGTAAAAGAAAAACGAAAACTGAAACAAATCGATGCATATCATCATCTGATTCAAAACAATCAGTGTGCATGTTAACCATCAACAAAGGCCGCTAAACCATGTGGTTATGTTT